GGTTTTGATTTCATTTGCTAATGTTGCTTCAACACTGTGAAGCGACGGTTCATGTGATGTCTGACTCAAAGAGTATATAGAGGTAGCACGCAATGTTAACCATCTTTTTAGATGAGAAAAGGAGCAGAACGCGACGGCGCCACTAGCAATCCTTTTAATTTTTGGAATTTTTTCATCTCTTTTTCTCTGCTAACTCCTTCTTTTCCTGCGTCTTTTAACTTTCTTATCTCTCTTATCTATAGCTCTCATTACAGTCTGAATAGCAAATTAATAACAATACATATTATGTAAACCCATCTATACAATATATAAAGTCAAAGCATCAAATTTTTGCGTCAAGATTGTGGTCGAACTGAGCGGGTTCTAAGAAAAAAAATTACACAGCGTGAAAGCCCTAATTCAACTACAACGACGAAAAATTGATTCGATACCTCATTTGAATATTAATCTTGAGCTGGATCCTAAAACTGCTTCACTTTTCCCGACAATCGAAAAAGACGATTATTTCATAATGAGTATTATAAATTTTGCCGATAGAATCAAAATTTATCGCGAGCTTGGTGGTGAGTTAGCTACTATGATGACTCATTGGGAACCAGGTTCGATCAACTGAATTGTGGCCTCTCATTCAATTTTAATTATACAATTTTATCACCAACACACAACGAAATTTGAAAATTATATCAAACACAAATTAATGAAACATGCTGCCTTTGCGGCTAAAACCTAAAGCGTCAACAGACAAATCAGTCGCCTGTTGAGACCGGTGGTCTTTTCTTTCCAAAGGAGGACCTGCAATTGAATAGGGAAAATTGCGTGCTAAAATATTTTCGCGCAATAAACTTTTTTGAATGTACTTTGACGTAACCTTAGTATTTTGACGTTGTACTAACTCTGAATATTTGCGCATATAATAAAATAGCATTTTCATAAGAAATATTGAATATTTACATTTTTATCTAATTGAAAACAAGCCGCGAAACCAGTCAATTCTATTCATAATTCATAAAATACAATTAAGCATACTGAATAACATGGCTTTTAGATTTAATTTTGTTCAACTGTAGAACTAGATTTCATTTTATTTTTATTTTTTCTCATTGACGATAATTTTTTTCATTAAGAATCTGATGAGTCTTTAAATGTGGATTGAATTTATTGTACTTGATAGAAATTTTGATAAGTCATGATCGCTGAAACCTCTAGTTTATTATTATCTTTTTACATACAAAAACAAAACAAATAAAATATATAAATATTACGCTAACATCGCACCTACTGTCCCGACTAGGACGTCCCGTTCTGTTTTATCGTATTGTCATACAAATACGATAAAACGTGAAATTTCTGTGGTTTCGAAAACATCAAATGGAGACAGATTGGTCGGAAAATTTCAATTTTTGACTTTAAGCTGACCGGATCATAGAATTGATTTGGAATAGTGAAGATTGCTGGTGATTGTCGTTATAAAGCATTCGGTGATATTAAAAAAAATCAATTGAGTTCATTGGAATAAAAGCTTTTAATTCTTAGGTGAGTTTTAACATGATTAACATCCATTTGGTCATAGTTTAAATTTTTCACGAAATAGTTCATATTTTATATATTACACGTTAATTAGTTGTATTTAGTATAAAATATACTTTCATCAACTCAAAGTATCTACGCTTGTTGTTTCACTTTTACTTGGGCTGGCTTTAGGTCTGACTAATTAAAATTATTAACAACAATAAATAGGTAAGATCAAATGCCAAAGGATTACTTGGAGCATATTTGGTGTAAACAATTGTAAATAGATGAAACTGCATCATTAGAATTGTTGAGAAAAACATGAAATTAATCTTTCGGTAAGTTTTATTTGAAACTTGGCTTGGATATGCAGAATGATAAAGAATATGACGATCCACGAAATATTTAATGATGATAAATATTAGGCCTAAAAATAGGGGGAAACAAGAAGAATAATGAATAAATAAATTTGATTTGTTCACTAATTCAACAATTGAATATTAATTAAAATATCATTGTTATGTAAAAATTATTAAAACAACACATGAGGCCCTTTACTGTGTTTGGTTTAAATCGTATGTCAAATTAACGCTCCTTCTTGTGTCCGTCTAACTAGACTGTTACCCTCTTATCTATAGCTCTCATTACAGTCTGAATAGCAAATTAATAACAATCTAAAACGATAACATTGGATTTTAATGCTATTAGATTAATTTTGAAAATGTAAAAAAGGTAAGGTAATTAACGCAAATAATTTTTTAATGCATGGAATAGTTAAGTTTAATTAGGCCCATAATTGTATCAAAAAATGTTTCATTTCTGCAAATCAAAAATTTACAGAAAATTACTTTTGACGGAGACAGCTTTAAAGAATGAAGAAGACAGTGTTAATATTGAAGAGGTCACTGGTCGTAAAACTTAACTTTAATCCTTTAAGAATGGGTGAGACAATGTTAAGAATGAAGAGGACAGTGAAAATTTTGAACAAGACACAATTTTAAGAAATAACTTCTTTCTAGGTACATTTATTAATATAAGACTGCATATGCTTATAATAATTTTTAATGTCATCAAAAATCTTAACCACAGCTATATCATTCAAGTCGCTACTTTACCAAATGAGTAAACATTATAATATTTTTAAATATCTTTTTTGTAAAAGGAGTTTAAATTTTTGATTTGCAGAAATGGAACATTTTTTGATTTAATTATGTGCCTAATTAAACATATACTATTCGATGCATTAAAAAATTGTGACGGTCACAGTTAAGTTAATTTTAAGTTGACCCTTTTTTGTTAACTTAACCCTGAGCACTAGTGAATTACAATGATTACAAAAACTCTGTTAATCAATCACATTTCTAATTACTAAAACACCGAATTAACCAAGAATATGAGCATGGCACTGGAAAGCTGCTGTGGTTCATCGAAATCAGCATTTGATAAGACAGACGTCGTCATGTTGACATTGATGGAAAAGGATATTGATAATGTTACTTTCAACATTATTAAATCTATCAGAGTTGATCCTCTTTCAGTTGATTTTTATCCTCATAAACTGCCCATGGAACAAGTCAATATAATAGTTGATAACCTTTTACAATGGAGCAAAAACGATGATGTTTGTAAATCTGTCTGTAATGATCTAAACAATGGTTTCAAAGTAAAACCTAGAGATTACGATATGTTTAAAAAATTTTGTCCTAAAATTGGTTGTCCAGCCTTTCTGGAGGAAATAGATTATCCGAAATTATTGGCAGAAACGGAAAAATTCCTCAGAACCATGAAATATCTCCTTTTATTTGGCCATCCAGTGCCTACTCGGGTTTTCTGGGGACCAGCACAAGCGACAATTCTTGAAATTGATCAAAAAACTCTTTCATTGTTCCCAAAATTAACTGAAAACCATTACTTCATTGTCACTTTCATTGATACCAAGACAAAACAGACAAGAACTCGCAAAATTGATGAATGCAGAATCATTTTGAATTAAATTTTACACTCAATAATTTTCCTCACAACTTTTTTTATTAAAATCATATAACATTAAAATTAACTTATATTATTACATAAATTCATGTAATGCTTTGAGCAATGTATCTTATCCTTTAAATTGAAAAAATACTATTATTAGTATTCAATCCATGTATCCATCAAATTATGTCCCTACAAACAAAAATAGTTTCAGTTTGGCAGAAATTGATTTTTTCTCTTTTTTGCCCATTTGTCTATAAATTTGACAATTGCTTGATTGTTTCTTTTTAGTTGCGACCATATTTACCTGACCAAGCAGATGGGTAAATCAAAAATCAGACCTAAAGCTAGCCCAAGTAAAAGTGAAACAACAAGCGTAGATACTTTGTGTTGATTAAAGTATATTTTATACTAATTATCACTAATTAACATGTAATATATAAAAGAGAAACTATTTCCCGAAAAATTTAAACTATGACCAAATGGATGTTAATCATGTTAAACTCACAAAGCATGCAAATCTTTTATTTCAATGAACACATTTGTTTGTGTTTCAGTTCCGGGTTTGGCTAGCAACCGACTTCTTCAATCAGGGTCTTCTTGTTTCGATGGTCCAAGAGTTTGGTACGCGTATTATCCTACAAGCCGTTAAAATAATTGTTGGATATATACAATTAAGCTAGTTTATGACAATGTGACTGATACTATAGACGACGGGGATGGAAAAATAGAGTTAGATCAGTTTGGGTGGACTAATTCTATGGAAAATTTGATGAGCGATTTGCCAGACAAATTTCCAAGTGCAAATGTATTTAGAAAAATGGCCAATCGTCTCAAAAGAAAGGGCTTTGTGAAAGGCAAAACACTATTTGGGATCCCTCAAGACTGGCGGAAGTCAGTGAGTAAGTGTTTAATTTGATTTAAATTATATAAATTGTCTATAAATGTGACAATTGCTTGATTGTTTCTTTTATGTAACGACCATATTTACCTGATCAAGCAGATGGGTAAATCAAAAATCAGACCTAAAGCTAGCCCAAGTAAAAGTGAAACAACAAGCGTAGATGCTTTGAGTTGATGAAAGTATATTTTATACTAATTATCACTAATTAACGTGTAATATATAAAAGAGGAACTATTTCGTGAAAAATTTAAACTATGACCAAATGGATGTTAATCATGTTAAAACTCACAAAGCATGCAAATCTTTTATTCCAATGAACACATTTGTTTTTTAATATCAATAATAATGAATTATAACGACAATCACCAACAATCTTCACTATTCCAGATCGATTTTAAAAAATTTCAATATCATACAGGATGAAAAAATCATGAAAAAACAGCATCATCAATCTTTTGGCTCCTCAAAGGGGTAAAAAGGATGATTCTTGGTAGCATCAAAAGTAACCATACGTTGCTCTCTATCTATATCTCTGATAGCATCCATTTCTGGTCCGGTCAGCTCAAAGTCAAAAATTGAAATATTCTCGACCAATCTGTCTTTATTTGATGTTTTTGGAACCACAGAAATTCCTCTCTGAATGTTGTACCTCAATGCTATTTGAGCCCACGTTTTATTGTATTTATATGACAATTGTACCAGAACGGAGTCCTAGTCGGGACGGTAGGTTAGGTGCGATGTTAGCGTTGTATTTATGTCTTTTATTTGCTTTGTTTCTGTTCTAAAACATTTTGTGACGCAATTTCGCTATTCAATTGCAGATCCTCCTTAGGAAAGGAATGACCATTGGTCTCAACAGGCGACTGATTTGTATGTTGTTGCTTAAGGTTTTTGCCGCATATTCAACATTTTTTATTAATTTGTGTTTGATATCATTTTATGAACTATCTTTAATGTTAACTAGTCGAATGTTGATTTATTTTAAATTTCGTTGTGTGCTGGTGATACAATTGTATAATTTAAAATTGAATGAGAGGCCACAATCCAGTTGATCGAACCTGGCTTCCATTGAATCTCCAAAACAGTTGACAAACCAGTAAGCGCGCGATAAATTTCGATTCTATCGACAAAATTTATAATACTCATTATGAAATAATCGTCTTTTTCGATTGTCGGGAAAAGTGAAGCAGTTTTAGGATCCAACTCAAGCTTAATATTCAAATGAGGTATCGAATCAAATTCATCAGAGATTCTATAAGCCTTAAACATCAAAAGGCATCGAGCATATTTCATAAGGTTAAGTTGAGATTCCGTGGGATAAACGTTGTCTGAGTAAGTATCTCTGTCTTCCTTGGTTAGATTGAATTTCATGTCTAGATCAATGTGTTTCGAATCGATCCTTATTGGTCCATGCAAAGTGCTTGTTTCATTTTTGAATAAATAGAGATAAATATTGTCATTGGCATCGAATTGCACTTTGCACAATGGACAGTATTGATTCAGGAAAGAGGATTGAGGAAAGGCACTACCATTTCTCCATAGTCCCCATGGTTGGTCTTGCACTGTATCTTCACGATTCATAGATTGTAAGTCAACAAAGGTTTTGATATTCATATAATAATTAACATGAGATGCAGCGGCTACAAAATTTTCATAATCTAAGCATTGACTTGAGATTGAATGAATAAATGATAAAACGATGAATTGAATAAAATAAAATTTTGACTCCATTGGCACTTTTGGTTTTAAGTAACTACAGAGATTGAAACGAAAAAAAGATTAAATAAAGTTCGGTTGGATTTTAATGAATCCAGTTTGAAATAAAATGCCAACACACCAAGATCCGGATAATGTAATACTTCGGCCCAAAATGGTTTGAGGCCAAATAAACGAGACCTAAATCTGGTTATAAGTTACAAGTAATACAAATAAATACATATGTATGAGTATCATAAGTTACAAGTAACTTGACCGGTTATTTAGTCCATTGGAACACTCAATGCAAAAAGAAGGAAATATCGGAAAATAAATGTTAAATTTTCATTTTAGATACATAAACTAATAGCTAGTGAAGTGAGCATTAGTTGACTATTCAGCTCTTATTCAATTCCTAATTCAATCAAATTCAATGGATTTTCAAATTTTGTTTTGTTTTTTTCTATTGTTTCCATTTTCTTCGTTGATGCTCATAAAGGAGATAAAACCTGATTCTGATGAGAATAAATTTAGAAATTACCATCTATTTAAGAGTAAGTCCTATTGATATCTTAATTTCTCTATTCAAATAATCTTACACCTTGAGCCGAATCAACCTCAAGTTTAAAAAATGAAAATGTTATCAATTAAGTTACAGCAGTTAATTCTGTATCCATGAGGTTAATGTTACAACTTGTATTGTAATCATTACAACAACAAGTAACAAGGCTCATAATATGAAAAAATAAGCCTCAAGACTGTTTCAATCTTTGACTTACTTTTCATAAAGATGCCAGTGCTTTGATGTACACAAATAATGTGACATTAACCTTATAGATACTTTAAACAATAAAAAATCAAAATCATTTTCCCATTTAGTGGTCTTTAGACCGGACGGCTTCGAGTCTCTTAGAAGTCCAAGTATAATTGGCTCAAAACTTGTGGAAGAGGATGTTGTGATTCGTACATTTCCAAGTGAAGCAAGTTTGTATCGTGAAAACACCGAATTAACCAAGAATATGAGCATGGCACTGGAAAGCTGCTGTGGTTCATCGAAATCATCATTTGATAAGACAGACATCGTCATGTTGACATTGATGGAAAAGGATATTGATAATGTTACTTTCAACATTATTAAATCTATCAGAGTTGATCCTCTTTCAGTTGATTTTTACCCTCATAAACTGCCCATGGAACAAGTCAATATAATAGTTGATAACCTTTTACAATGGAGCAAAAACGATGATGTTTGTAAATCTGTCTGTAATGATCTAAACAATGGTTTCAAAGTAAAACCTAGAGATTACGATATGTTTAAAAAATTTTGTCCTAAAATTGGTTGTCCAGCCTTTCTGGAGGAAATAGATTATCCGAAATTATTGGCAGAAACGGAAAAATTCCTCAGAACCATGAAATATCTCCTTTTATTTGGCCATCCAGTGCCTACTCGGGTTTTCTGGGGGCCAGCACAAGCGACAATTCTTGAAATTGATCAAAAAACTCTTTCATTGTTCCCAAAATTAACTGAAAACCATTACTTCATTATCACTTTCATTGATACCAAGACAAAACAGACAAGAACTCGCAAAATTGATGAGTGCAGAATCATTTTGAATTAAATTTTACACTCAATAATTTTCATCTCAACTTTTTTTATTAAAATCATATGTTATAAAAATTAACTCCACAAGGCTTATACTATTACATAATTTAATATTTTTATCAACAATTCTAGTGATGCAGTTTCATTTATTTACAATTGTTTACACCAAATATGATCCAAGTAATGCTTTGAGCAATGTATCTTATCCCCCAAATTGAAAAAAATACTATTATTAGAATTCAATCCATGTATTCATCAATTTATGTCCCTACAAACCAAAATAGTTTCAGTTTGTCAGAAATTGATTTTTACTCGTTTATGCCCATTTGTCTTTAAGTGTGCCAATTGCTTGATTGTTTCTTTTTAGCAACGACCATATTTACTCGATCAAGCAGATGGGTAAATCAAAAATCAGACCTAAAGCTAGCCCAAGTGAAACAACAAGCGTAGATACTTTGAGTTGATTGAAGTATATTTTTTTACTAATTATCACTAATTAACGTGTAATATATAAAAGAGGAACTATTTCGTGAAAAATTTAAACTATGACCAAATGCATGTTAATTATGTTAAAATTCACATAAGAATAGCAAGCTTTTATTCAAATTAACACAATTGATTTTTTAATAAATCACCAACACTCCAATTTTATGATCCGATAATAAAAGGATAAAATTGAAACAAATGGTCAAAAATGGGTAAAAATATATTTTTTCAAAGTTGAACTCAGTTGGTTTGCAGAGACATAAAAACTGAGTCATTCGTGAGGTTTAAAGATTTCTCTGATCGACAGTTTTCGAGAAAATCGATTACTTCGATCACTTTTTGCACAACTATGGAAGCAGATTTATTCATAAAACTCATAAATCTGATGAAACTTTTGATGATAAACCAGCAAATTTACTTATTTTGAGAAATATAATAGAATTTTCATTTTTATGTAAAAGAGATTAGTTCGATTTTCAATTGAATCGATCATTTTCTGTGACCATTGCAGCTAAAGAGCTGAATTTAATTATTTATCCATAAAAATGATTGGCTCACATCATGGACTGAATACTTCCATTTTATAAACAGCTGTTTACAAAATGACGGAGCAACGGAGCTATAGCTAGTTAATAGTACCAATGGACTCAGTTTTCACAGTCTCTGCAAATCCACCAAGTCTCAACTCTTTACTCAAATGTTCGAGCCTTAGCAGCATTCTTTACATTTCATGTGTAATTTTAATCAGAAAATTGGTTCATTTACCAAGAAATGGGTTGAGATGAGCTCATTTTGTTGAAACAAGTTGTTGCTCACGCATTTACAGTCCAAATATTATACCATTACCCAAATGCGCTTATGAAAGTTATCAAGTCGAATTAAATTATAAATTAGTAAAACATCAAATTGGTGAGGCCATTCTCGAAATATTAAGTCTCAAAGTTTTAAAGCCAATGGCCAAAATCAAGAGAACAGTCGATAAATATATGAAATCTGTCAATTCATGATATGAACCAACAATTTTTATTGACAAAGTATAAGTTTCAGCTCTCTAACTTTTGCAGTCACAAAAAGCGATTGATTCACATGAAAATCGAACTAAACAGAGTCTGAATTTGAAAAAAAAATATTTTACCCGTTTTTTGCTCATTTGTGTCAATTTATGCATAAATGTGACAATTGTGTTGATTGTGTCTTTTTAATAACAACTCTAAATTAAAGTAAGTACCAGAAGCACTAGCAAACACCATTTGGTGTTATAACCTAGGTACGATTCAAAAAGAAGGATAAAATGAACCCGGAGAGAGTTATTATTAGAAGGTATTTTGATCGAACAGAACTATCTTTAACGTTAATTTAGTCGGGTGTTGATTTTATTTTAAATTTCGTTGTGTTGGGGATAAAATTGTATAATTTGAAATTGAATGAGAGGCCACAATCCAGTTGATCGAACCTGGCTTCCATCTAGTCTCCAAAACAGTTGACAAACCAGTAAGTGGTTTCCAAAAAATATATACAGCAGCTGACTCACCATAAAGCTCTCGGTGAATAATGATTCTATCGACAAAATTTATAATACTTATTATAAAATAATCGTCTTTTTCGATTGTCGGGAAAAGTGAAGCAGTTTCAGGATCCAACTCAAGATTAATATTCAAATGAGGTATCGAATCAAATTCATCAGAGATTCTATAAGCCTTAAACATCAAAAGGCATCGAGCATATTTCATAAGGTTAAGTTGAGATTCCGTAGGATAAGCGTTGTCTGAGTAAGTATCTCTGTCTTCCTTGGTTAGATTGAATTTCATGTCTAGATCAATGTGTTTCGAATCGATCCTTATTGGTCCATGCAAAGTGCTTGTTTTATTCTTGAATAAATAGAGATAAATATTGTCATTGGCATCGAACTGCACTTTGCACAATGGAAAGTTATTTAGCTGAGGAAAGGCACTACCATTTCTCCATATTCCCCATGGCTGGTCTTTCACTGTGTCTTCACGATTCATAGATTGTAAGTCAACACTGGTTTTGATATTCATATAATAATTAACATGAGATGCAGCAGCTACAAAATTTTCATAATCTAAGCACTGACTTGATACTAAATGAATCAAAGATAAAACGATGAATTGAATAAAATTAAATTTCGACTCCATTGGCACTTTTTGTTTTGAGTAACTACAGAGATTGAAACTAAAAAAAGATTAAATAAAGTTCGGTTGGATTTTAATGAATCCAGTTTGAAAGAAATGCCAACACACCATAGATAATGTAATTCATTAGCCAAAATGGTTTTTGGGAAATAATCTGATAATCGAGAGGATCTGGTGATAAGTTACAAGTAACTTGACCGGTTATTTAGTCCATTGGAACACTCAATGCAAAAAGAAGGAAATATCGGAAAAGAAAATGTAAAAATTTCATTTTATGTTCATTAGCTAATAGCAAGTAAGCATTAGTTGACTATTCAGCTCTTATTCAACTCCTAATTCAATCAAATTCAATGGATTTTCAAATTTTGTTTTGTTTTTTTCTATTGTTTCCATTTTCTTCGTTGATGCTCATAAAGGAGATAAAATCTGGTTCTGATGAAAATAAATTTAGAAATTACGAACTATATAAGGGTAAGTTCTATTGATATCTTATTATAATTTCTAAAAAATGTAAAATTTTTTTTCCCATTTAGCGGTCTTTAGACCGGACGGCTTCGAGTCTCTTGAAAATCCAAGTATAATTGGCTCAAAACTTGTGGAAGAGGATGTGGTGATTCGCACTTTTCCAAGTGAAGCAAGTTTGTATCGTGAAAACACTGAATTAACCAAGAATATGAGCATGGCACTGGAAAGCTGCTGTGGTTCATCGAAATCATCATTTGATAAGACGGACGTCGTCATGTTGACATTGATGGAAAAGGATATTGATAATGTTACTTTCAACATTATTAAATCTATCAGAGTTGATCCTCTTTCAGTTGATTTTTACCCCCACAAACTGCCCATGGAACAAGTCAATATAATCGTTAATACACTTTTAAAATGGAGCATAGACGATGATGTTTGTAAATCTGTCTGTAATGATCTAAACAGGGGTTTGAAAGTAAAATCTAGCGATTACGATATGTTTAAAGATTTTTGTCCTAAAATTGGTTGTCCAGCCTTTCTGGAGGAAATAGATTATCCGAAATTATTGGCAGAAACGGAAAAATTTCTCAGAACCATGAAATATCTCCTCTTATTTGGCCATCCAGTGCCTACTCGGGTTTTCTGGGGGCCAGCACAAGCGACAATTCTTGAAATTGATCAAAAAACTCTTTCATTGTTCCCAAAATTAACTGAAAACCATTACTTTATTGTCACTTATATTGATACCAAGACAAAACAGACAAGAACTCGCAAAATTGATGAATGCAAAATTATTTTGAATTAAATTTTACACTCAATAATTTTCATCTCAACTTTTTTTATTAAAATCATATGTTATTAAAATTTACTCCACGAGGCTTATATTATATTGATTTTTACTCGTTTTCGCCCATTTGTCTATAAATGTGACAATTGCTTGATTGTTTCTTTTTAGTAACGACCATATTCACCTGATCAAGCAGATGGGTAAATCAAAAATCAGACCTAAAGCTAGCCCAAGTAAAAGTGAAACAACAAGCGTAGATACTTTAAGTTGATTAAAGCACATTCTATACTAATTATCACTAATTAACGTGTAATATATAAAAGAGGAACTATTTCGTGAAAAATTTAAACTATGACCAAATGGATGTTAATCATGTTAAAACTCACATAAGAATTAAAAGCTTTTATTCCAATGAACACAATTGATTTTTTAATATCATTAATAATGAATTATAACGATAATTACCAACAATCTTCACTATTCCAGATCGATTTTAAAAAATTTCAATATCATACAGGATGAAAAAATCATGAAAAACAGCATCATCAATCTTTTGGCTCCTCAAAGGGATAAAAAGGATGATTCTTGGTAGCATCAAAAGTAACCATACGTTGCTCTCTATCTATATCTCTGATAGCATCCATTTCTGGTCCGGTCAGCTCAAAGTCAAAAATTGAAATATTCTCGACCAATCTGTCTTTATTTGATGTTTTTGGAACCACAGAAATTCCTCTCTGAATGTTGTACCTCAATGCAATTTGAGCCCACGTTTTATTGTATTTATATGACAATTGTACCAGAACGGGGTCCTTTGATAAATTTGAAGATCCTCCTTTACCAATAGGTGTATAAGCGGTAACATGGACACTCTGGGATTTACAGTAATCAACCAACTCACAGTTGCTTAAATATGGATGGACCTCAAATTGGTTAACAGCTGGTTTTATGTTACAGTTTGCAAGTAAGCGTTCAAGCTGATCTATGTTGAAGTTGGAGACACCAATTGATTTGGCTAAACCAGCCCTGAATACGTCTTCCATACCTTTCCAGGTTTCTAAGTAGTCAACATCAGAGATTTTAAGGCCAGATTCAGGATCATTACTATAGCCCATAGGCCAATGAACCAAGTAAAGGTCAAGATATTCAAGACCTAAATTTTCTAGACTTCTTTTGCAGGCTGACATCACTTGAGATCTTTCATGGCTATCATTCCAACATTTAGATGTTATCCAAATATCTTCTCGCTTTAATTTGCCTGAGTCAAGAATTCGGTTAACTGCTTGACCAATTGGACGTTCATTTTCGTAAATCCAAGCTGCATCAATGTGTTGGTAACCAGCCTCCAATAAAGCGTAGTCGATAATATCTTTAACTTCTTCATCCTTCATTTTATAGGTACCAAGACCAACAGCAGGAATTCTGCGACCATCTGATAGTAGAAACTTCATTTCTATTTAAATCTTTAATTTGATTGAGGACGAAGCACTTGAAATTGTTGGGGCACAAATTTAATGTTACAAATAGTTGGGATCAATGACAATGAAGACAATAAGATGTTTGATATCAATGAGTTAACTTTGTCTTATAAAAAACATTACGTCAATATTTGTAAATTATTTATTTTTCCCCAGCAAGCATGAACGATTTCAAAAGCTGTAATGTTTGCCTTTAATAAATTCTTGTATCAGAGATAAACCATTACGTTCCTGTGTTTTTTAAAGAGCAAAGAGTGATTACTGATTTTAATGATTAGAGAGGTTAATGATTACTTGATTACTAATGAATCATTAGAAATACAATAATTGCTTACTCTTTTTCACTACCTGTTTTATTCACTGATTAACAATTTTCCGAGAAACAATGAAAATCATTAAATGTTTTGTATATTTTCAATAATCAAAACAATAAACGATACGAATCTTCGTTAGAGTAAATAATTGTGACTTTATTGACAAGTTATCCGATTTTAATATTTTATCATAATATCGGTAGTTGTAAAATTATCTCTAGACTAAAACATCATTATCAATATTTGCATTTACTCAATTAATCTCTGAGCCAAACAATCATTTGATTGATGAAAAGTTGAATAGAAACATTGAATGCATTTAATTTAACCAACTTAACTTTAACTGTGGACCAAGTAACATGTCGATCCGATGACATTGAATAACAAAAAATATCGTATTACAAAGTTGATACGCCAACAATAAAAGATAACGAAAATTTAGCTTTGGTTAAGCAACAATAACTGTTAATAGTGTTCATTTAGACTTCTTGAGGGCCTCAAATCTTTTGGTTAACTCTTCAAAGTCTAAATCTGTTTTGAGCTTGACTGTTTCTTGTTGATTAAAGTCTTTTTGACTAGGGAGCTCAGGTAAGGAAGAAGGTACTTCAGGTAAGAAATTCTCAATGTCATCCACATCATCGTTCAAGCTCAATATGTTATTATCTAGTTCCTGTGGGTTAATTTTATTTCCATTTGATGTTGATACGGCGAGTTCATCAGGAATTGTTGAAGATGGTGATGAATTTGGAGGAATTGACGGTATCAAAGGTGGATTAGGGTCATTCGTTTCAAGATCCAACAAAAATTTATCCATAATATTCAAATTGTTTGCATTAAGTATGGTTGGGTCTGGTTCATATGCTAAGTCCATGCTTTTTGAAATCTCTGGAAAATAGAGCAAATTTTCAGAATTAGACTAGAGTTGTTTACAAATTTTTAGTATCAATTATCTTACCGACTAAATACTTTTCCACTAAGACTTTAGGTGGAATTTCAACACCCAATCGATGAAGAAGCTTTTTATTCACTCTTCCCAGTGAGTTGTCTCGAGCTGCAATCGCAAACTGTTTACCATACTTTTTAGACAGCAGATCAGCAACAACTTTCAATTCTGGACAGCCTTCAATCTTATGGGATGCCCAAATGATGGATGAAATGGCTTCGACCAATCCTTCATCAACTGTTCTCATTTGTTCAATCATACCAAAGCGAGTCAATAAAAGATCACAATACATTTCAAGCATTTCAAAAGCTTCAACCAGATAGTCTTCCCTTATGATGTGTTCAACACGGATTCTGGCTCGATCGATTTTACCAGTAAATATGTAACTTCCAATTTCTGTTCTTGATTTTTGAGTCAGTTCTGTTTTCTTTTTACCAAGCAGTCTCAGTCTTTGAATCGAAAGACGCAAATTGGTCTTTAATTTGGTGAAATTGGCTGAAATCGGGGGAGCCATTTTTGATTCAATGAATATTACCAAAAAGGTTATTTGGCTGGTGATACACTTTGCTGTGTTTAGCAGAAATCGCTTCCTGTTTAATATAATCCAGAGGTATGTCGCTGAGCTCTAAATTAAGAGGAATAAGAGAATAGAGATTAGATTATGGTTGAATCATCAATTGAACACACTAGGGTACAGCAGAATGAATGTCAATACAAAGCTTCAATCTGGATAAAAAACATAATGACATATAGCTTTGATGCAATAAACAAAATCACAATAAAAATTGACAATACAAAGATCGTAATGAATTAGCATATGTTCTATCTCTTACCTAAATAATTAGTACACCAAGGAAGTCTTGTATCAATATTAACGTTGAATTTCAAGGTACCAGCATTAAAAAACACAAATAAATGATAAAAAACAATAATAAACAATCGAGTTAAATTAATAGTGACGTTTAACTGTAAATAACAATTTTGCTGCTTAGTAACACACTTTTAGGTTAAATTTGAAATTACTGGCGGGAAAAATGATATTCACTCATGTAATTGCGTTTTATTAGAGTTACATTATTAAACTCAATTATCTTCTAAGAGATCATGAATTGCGTTAAAAAAATTTCTGAATTTAATGAATATAAATAGTATTCAACAATTAAGAAACTTAAAAAGGCAAATCGTGAAATTGTGACCTTGCAATCACAAAAACCCAAGGCAACAACAGACAAACCAATCACCTGTTGAGACCGGTGGTGGCTACTTTCTTAAATTGATTGCTTTTTAATTTTTGTCATAGTCAGTTTTTTAGTTAGACTGCCAACAATGCGTTTCTTCAAATGAATCTTTAATTAATTCAACTTTGATATAATTCTAATTGATATTTTCTTTGGTGATTTAATTATAAAGTGTCAGTTTTAGTTGATACTGTAAAAAATTAATCCCAAAAAGCTAAATGTGACTAAACCAGGGGGCAGTACAGATTATCAATCTGTAAAACTGTTCAGTCAATCTATGGCTTGCTTGTATTTACTTTATACATTCAAATAAATAACCCAAATCATTGAATTATTTTTCAATATTTTTTAGGCTTAAAGCTTACAATTAATGTAAATCAATTTGATTGGTTTGATAATTGGCCTAATAGAACGTTAATCAGCCTTTTCTTTTTCATACTTGGTTGTAAACAATATTACATGGTTTGTGAATATTGTTAGCCTTGTCTCTGGTGGCAAATTAGGATCTTTTTAATCGCCTGAAATTCAAAGTTCATTGTAAGTATTGAAAACCTATTAAACACTATTATAATGAATAAAATAATGTTTTTTCAACAGGATGGAAATACGATTTAATCTGATTCGAAAGACGAGATAGCCTTCAATTTTCAAATGTGTAAATCTTGCTAGTAGTGCTGATTGAAAAAGTGATTATTTCAATTTGGTGGTTGAAAGTGATTTATCGAATGGATAACAAGTCGATTCAACGTAATGTTAATAAAAACAAATCAAAAATCAATCAAGGAAGGAAAAGATTCCACATTGAACAAAAACAAACCCTGAATTGAATATGGAGTTATGTTTATAAATGAATGGGAATATAAAGCAGTTACTTTTATGGTGGATCCCAAAGGTGATGATGAACAGAGCACAAATGTTGATGAAAAAAGGCTGGATGTTGGCTTAAAGGGAGTTGCAACCTTTTTTTCACATCCAAACCATTTTCATCAAAAGTTTTGCTCTCTGTTCATCATCATCACCTTCTTAATTATCATAGAGTAAGTATCTTTACAGTTATGTTTTCATGAAAGAAAAGACAATCGTTTACATTCAAACTGTGTTCGTACTTTTGGTTTAGTATCAAACTATAATTGTGTTTCTTGTTTCTGTGTTTTTTCCCGTTGTTATTTCAGCTTGTATTTTTCCGTGGGACTAAGTTAACATCAAACGCTAAACAAAATGGAGGCAATCAAGAAAAAGATGGCGTCAATCAAAATTGACAAAGACAATGCTTTGGATAGAGCTGATACCGCTGAGAATCAGTTGAAAGATGCTCAATCACGGGTCTCCAAAGTATGATCTATTTTCACATCGCCATATTGATGAATTCAATTAAATCTTGGACCATTGATTAAGTTTATATTGTTATTGTTTCTTATCAGGCTGAAGAAGAAATTCAAGGACTTGAGAAACGATTAAATCAAATCCAGGAAGAGCTTGCAAAGGCTACTGCTGATTTGGGTAGAGCAAATGAAGATCTTGAAACTAGAGAGAAAACTTTACATGCTGTAAGTTTTTAACCTGAAAATCATTTGTTCAATTTCATTGAGTTTTACAATTGTCTTTACATCTCAGGCTGAAAATGAATTGGCCTCATTGTCAAGAAAAGTTCAACAACTCGAGGAAACATTGGAAAATACCGAAGAGAAAACTCGAACCGCTCAAGTTAAGTTTGAACAAGTCTCCCAAGCCGGTGAAGAAAGTGAAAGGTAATTGACCAATGAAACCTGTTCAAGTGATGATTATTCACTGATTTCGTCTCAATTTTATTTCTAAAATGAACAGATTACGTAAAATGTTTGAACATCGTTGTACCGTTGACGAGGAAAGACTAAAAATCTTGGAATCCCAGCTCAAAGAAGCCAGAAATACCGTTGAAGAAGCTGACAAAAAATGTGATGAGGTTAGAATTGGACATTTTGGATTTTCGTTTTAAACATTTCTAACCAATCATTTTAATACAATTTATTCTTAATTATTTCATTTCAAAATTATAGCTTGCAAAGAAAGTAGCTGAAGTTGAAGATGATTTGGAGCGAGCTGAAGAGCGAGTTCAAACTGGTGAAGTGTAAGTAACATTTTTTTACCACTGAATTTACTTGATTGATATGTAAGATTAACTGTTTTTCATCATCTCTTTGAACAGAAAAATCTTGGAATTAGAGGAAGAATTGAAAGTTGTTGGTAATAATGTCAAATCTTTGGAAGTTGCCGAGGAAAAGGTAAATCGTATTAATTAATTGTCAATAGATGGTGTGATTGGTAGGCTAACATTGGATCAGATCATCAGGGATAAACAGATAATTTTGTTTACTCTTGTTTTTTCAGTGTTAATTGTGTATTTTTACATTGTTTTTAGCTTAGTAATCAAATTTTCTTGAGATGTTTACTCCCAGTTTGACTTGTGGTTAGAATTGTTGAAAGGTTTAAATTGATAGACAGTGATATTGTAATGAAGTGTCAAGGAAAATGACTAGATAATGTAAGCCAAAATAATCGGATTATTTAGTGTTCATTTCAAATGATCCCGAAATGAAACTAAATAACTTGAATTAGTGATAATTATCAGAATATCAATGAAACTATTCAGTATAACTTTAAAGTTCCAATCTCAATTTCAATTAGGCACATTGACTGGCTAAATGCCCAATATTGTGAGATACTTTTCCCACTTTTCATGCGTTGTCAGCATCCAGTTTTCTTACACTCTTTTATCCTGCATAATAATCTTCATCATCTCGGTTGTTCATCAAATGTTCAAAGACAATTGTGACAGACATTTTATTGTAAAAGACAAACTGGAAGGGAACAAGCATCTTAATATAAACATAGTGATGACACAGAAATAGACTGAAACATCTTGAAAGGAAGAAATCAGAACCATTCTGGTTTTGGTTCAGTTGATAATCACAGTTTTACTCCAACAACAAACAAAAGTATAATAGGAATAGTTGAACATATTCAACCTTATAAAAAATTTTGGCTAAGAGGACCAAATTTTATGCCAAATCCTGAGATTAAGATTTGAATTTTTGATTTTCATCAGATTTTGTTGGAAATTTTTTCTTCTTTTTTTATCATCATTATTTTCATCTTAATAGGGTTGACAATCCATGAACACTTTTCCAAGATTAAAGCAAAAGGAAACACAAGATGAATTGATTATCATCTAGTTGATCATCCATCCAAGACTGACTGAAATACTGATTAATTTAATTTTAAGGCCTTTAAGGATAGTCATTGAGAGACATCTAACTTCCTTCCTATTCAACAAGTTGATTTAAATTATCATTGATTATACGCTTTCGATCGATAGTTAACAAGACTTCAACCAAATTGAAATCGATTGATTCAATACCTAATACAATATGCTAAGATCAAAAATTTTTAGTTGATTTATTGCTTTAATTGTGGCTCGTGATTCTGACTTTAATAAAAATCACTATTTCTGAAGGTAAACAAGACTGAAACTTGTTAGTTACGGTGTTTATTGCATGCAACTTAAAATAAGTTTTTAATCAGATGAAATCATCTTCTTTTAATTATGATACATTTACATGACATTAACTGTTTTAATTAACGACATTTTACTTTATTTTTAATACTGTTATTCTTGTTATTTGAACAGTCACTTGCCAAACAGGATGAATATGAGTCCAACATTCGTCAACTCACAACTCGACTTCAAGAGGTAAATATGATGCACATTTCAATGTTGCTCAAAAACGGTTTCTCGTAACATTGCAATTCATTTAAACTTGGTCTAATGATTTATTTATTATTAAACCAAAGATTGTTAATGAACTTAATTTTAAATGGTATTTTTTATCTTTCCTATCATGTAGGCTGAAGCAAGAGCTGAGTTTGCTGAAAGGACCGTTCAAAAGCTTCTCAAGGAGGTTGACAGATTAGAAGGTGAGTTTCCAATGCAATACAATTTATTGGATTTTTTTCATTGAAGCTTTTACTAATTATAAACTATTCATTGCTCTTCAATTACAGATGAATTGTCTCATGAGAAGGAGAAATCAAAATCTCTTACTGATGAAATGGATCAAACTTTTGCTGAATTAACTGGTTACTAAACTTGATGATTCTGAGAGTGTCAACCACCAAGCCTAAAGATACAAGCCAAAAAGGGAAACTTAAAACCAAGACAACCAAAAAAAACCGAAAGCCTTCAAGTTATCATAAAATAGTCAAAAAATGATATTAATTAATTCCTTTTGATCGTTGAAATGATAACCTTGCCATGCTATCTTGAAATGCTTCATATCATTTTCTGGAACAATTGAAACAATAGATTATTATTAGTAGTTACACCGATCATTAATATATTAATATGCAAAACAAAATGAAAAAAAAGGTTGACTTGAATTTCATCTTTTCTGTACATCTAAAGTGTAGAGAGTCAACTTTTTTTGCTATTTCTGGTTAAATATCATAATTAAATTGTTATTAACACAAGTTAATAATGATGCTTATAATTTTTACGTGTAAAATGAAATCATTTGTATATATTAGTCTTGAAATAGATAAGTATTTGTGTATGAGCAGCAGGATAATATCTACATGTAAGATTCATTGTCTAATGATCTGAATCATTTGAAAATATTTTAAAAGTCTCTTTTAAAATGGCTTAATGCCGAGATTAGATTTAGATTTATATCAACTGATCAATTCATGTATTGATAGTTTCATTTTTAGCTTGCCGTCAATGAAGTAGCATGTTCAGCATAATTTGGAAGATCCATTGTTTCTCCTCATTGTTTACAATCAAGTTAGAGCAGATGATTAGGGAAAAAATTTAAATATAAAACAGGGAAAAGGCAGGGAAAAGAGGAACAAGTAGGAACAGTTTGTTGTGCTTCACTTGATGATCATAATTTTTGTTTACACCAAGGAAAGAATAGGAATAGCCTGTGTTATACCGCAACTATACATGTATTTGGCTTGAGAAACTAAATTTTATGCCAAATCTGTAGATGAAATTTCAAAATTAGTCTCTCAAATTTCATCCTACAGTGAAACTATCATGAAAATTGTGAGTGACTCCTGGCGAGTAATCATCAAGTATGCAGTACGATTAAATTTATTCATTAATCCATCATATTTTGTTACATTTTTTCCTACCGAATTATCTTATGAGATTCAAGTTACAGTCCAAAGCAAGTCGGTGCAATTGAAAGTTTATAACGAATACAAATTCAAACAATTATCCTTCAATGACCAAATTTACTATTAAAATAATTTTCAACTCTGAATCAATATAAAACATTAATTTATGTTCAGCTGCATCAAACAATTTGGGATTTGGCTTTCGATTTAATCTCATTTCTCTTTTTGGTCCGTTAACTCTTCAAAGAATTTCGTTATCAAGCAACCCAAATACGATCATCTGTAGTTTGTTTTGGTTGAATAATTGGTTAGCGTTTATTGAACTATTTAACATTTGTAATACAATATTAATATTAATTTCTGAACCATTACTCGATGGTTTGCTTGAAAATCGCGATTCGACGCCAGTTTACTTGCATCATCTTGAATCGACTGTATTGTTGACTATTGACGGTTAATGAATTATAGTGTTGATTTGTTGAATTGATAATGAACAAAGATGGGTTTATTAGAAGCTTTTAAGGTGTTGATGAGAATCATCTAAATGAATAATGAACATTTTAAGCTTTCATTTTTACTTGCTTCTGTACTACAGCTGCGGTTGCTACTACTAATGCCACTGCTTCTGCTACTAATTAATTGAATTTTTAACTTAATCGCAACCTCTCGCCAAGCAAGATAAACATTTCGATATCAAAGCCAACATTCGTTAATATGCACAACCAACAAGAAAAGAGGTAAATTAGAAGGCAAAAGATATAGCAATTTAAATTTGTGAATCTAAATTTACTCGTCAAGAAACTGTTAATGTTAAGAGTAAAAGTGAGATGTTTAAAGACACTCTAATGATGAATTATGTTGGCCAAAATTTAATATAAAGGACCTTATTGTATGATTCAAACATTCAAAATTCATTCAGATACGAAGATGTATTTTCGAAGTTAGTCACAGGAACTTGTTGCTCACTTTGCGATTCAATTGTCTATTGTAAATGTTGATTGTTGTATTTCATGAGATGTAATTTGTTTTACTAACACATTCAGAAACATAATTAGCAACGATTTTAAAATCAGATAAAAATTGAAGCATTTTTAATGCAAAACACTGAGAGCTTAAGCTACGTGAAGTTAATTTAAATAAAACTTGCTTATTAAATGGACACGATCTGCTAATTACTTAGCTCGATGGCTTAAGTATCTTTAAAAACTGTGAGATCTCTTCAATTGCTTCGTGCTTCCTGTAAAGCTCGCAGAGTGTTGTTACTGAAGAGACACAATTGTCACATTTATACAGAGTTTGGCACAAATAGTAAAAAAAGAGTAAAGGCAACTTCTTTAAATTTAGGTCCGGTTAGTTTGTAGAATCAAAAAAAGTGATTCTATTCATGCGATTCAAAGATTTCTTTGGTCGACATTTCTCGAGAAAATGGGGTTCGAAGTTGAAACTTGTAAAGCTTTTTTGTGCAGTTATGACAGCAGATACTTTCACGAAACTTATTTAAATGATTTAACTGTTGATAACCAACCAGAAAGTGGTCTTATTTTGTAAAATAAAGCTTTTCTTTTTCTGTAGAACAGCTAAGTTCGATTTTCAGATAAATCGGTCACTTTGCGTGACCGTTAGAGTTAGAGAGCTAAAACTTATGTGGGTCAACAAAAATGATTGGTACACATCATAGACTGGATAGTTTTTTCTCAAATTTTAAAGGGTTCTCTTGATATTCGCAATTAGACTTAAAACTTTGAACATCGATATTTCGAGAATGGCATTAACTACAATCATCATTCGTTCACCAATGCCATTCTTTACTAATTACTAATTTAGTTTGATCGAATTATTTCCCATTAGTGATTTTGGTTCATGATATTTGGCTTTTTAATGTGCTAGTAACAACTTATTTAACAAAACAAACTCATATTAACGCATATCTTGGTAAATAAAGCAATTTTCTGGTTTCACTTACAAATGAAGTGCAAAAAGTAATGCAAAAGACTCGAACGTTTGAGTCATGAATTGCGACTTTGTGGGTTTTGTAGAGACATAAAAACTGCATCTATTGGTACTATTAAATAACTCATCCGATGGACAGTTTTCTAGGAAATCGAGGTCGAAGTTGAAACTTCGATCGCTATTTGTGCAGCTATGGAACAAGATTTTGCCAAGAAACTTATGCCACTGATTTTATCTTTGAATAACTAATCACAAAATGGTCTTATTTTGTAAAATAAAGCTTTCCTTTTTCTGTAGCACGGCTAAGTTTGATTTTCAGTTAAATCGATCACTTTGCGTGACCGTTAGAGTTAGAGAGCTAAAACTTATGTGGGTCAACAAAAATGATTGGTACACATCATAGACTGGATAGTTTTTTCTCAAATTTTAAAGGGTTCTCTTGATATTCGCCATTAGACTTAAAACTTTGAGCATCGATATTTCGAGAATGGCATAACCTACAATCATCATTTGCTCTTCAATTCAATTCTTTACTAATTACTAATTCATTCCAATCAAATAACTTTCCATTAGTGCATTTTGTTTATGATATTTGGGCTTAAAATGCACGCTTAACAACTTATTTAACAAAACAAACTCACATTTACACATATCTTGGTGAATAAACCATTTTTCTGGTTTCACTTACAAATGAAGTGCAAAAAGTAATGCAAAAGACTCGAACGTTTGAGTTATGAGCTGCGACTTTGTGGGTTTTGTAGATACATAAAAACTGCATCTATTGGTACTATTAAATAACTCATCCGATGGACATTTCTCTAGAAAATCGAGGTCGAAGTTGAAACTTCGAGTGCTTTTTGTGCAGCTATGGAAGCAGATTTTGTCACGAAACTTATGCCACTGATTTAAATTTAAAAAACCAACTAGAAAGTGACCTTATTTTGTAAAATAAGACTTTCCTTTTTCTGTAAAACACGTTAGTTCGATATTCAGTTGAATCGATCACTTTGCTTGACCGTTAGAGTTAGAGAGATGAAACTTATTATGCGTGCATAAATATTGTTGGTTCATATCAGGGTTTTAATAATTTCATCAATTTATTGACAGTTTTCTTGATTTTGACTAGTGGTCTTAAAAGTTTGAGGCTCAATATTTCGAAGATGGTAGTACCTACAGTCGTCATACTTTCATCAAATATTAGACTTCATTATGGGCTATGATGTGTACAAATATTGAATTATATAAAACCCAATAAAAGTTATAGCATCATATTACTTATGTTGCCAGATTTGAGATTTGATTAATAAAGTTAAATGCTTACCAAACACAAATCTCAGAGGTTGGAAAGATATTCATTATTAAATGAATTAGCTCAGATTTTCTTTGGTATTCACTCATAAAATATTATAGCGCATAATGAAATCTATTGATGCATCAAAGAATATTGACTGTAAGTGAGGCCATTCTCGAAATATTGAGCCTCAAACTTTTAAGACCACTGGTCAAAATCAAGAAAACTGTCGATAAATTGATGAAATTATTAAAACCCTGATATGAACCAACAATATTTATGCACGCATAATAAGTTTCATCTCTCTAACTCTAACGGTCAAGCAAAGTGATCGATTCAACTGAATATCGAACTAACGTGTTTTACAGAAAAAGGAAAGTTTTATTTTACAAAATAAGACCATTTTCTAGTTGGTTGTTTAAAGTCTAATCAGTGGCATAAGTTTCGTGACAAAATCTGCTTCCATAGCTGCACAAAAAGCACTCGAAGTTTCAACTTCGACCTCGATTTTCGAGAGAACTGTTTATCGGATGAGTTATTTGATAGTACCAATAGATGCAGTTTTTATGTATCTACAAAACCCACAAAGTCGCAGCTCATAACTCAAACGTTCGAGTCTTTTGCATTACTTTTTGCACTTCATTTGTAAGTGAAACCAGAAAAATGGTTTATTCACCAAGATATGTGTTAATGTGAGTTTGTTTTGTTAAATAGGTTGTTGAGCGTGCATTTAAAGCCCAAATATCATGAACCAAATGCGCTAAAGGAAAGTTATTTGGTTAAATTGAATAAGTAATTAGTAAAGAATTGCATTGGGCGACGAATGATGATTGTAGTTGATGCCATTCTCTAAGTATCGATGTTCAAAGTTTTAAGTCTAATGGCGAATATCAAGAGAACTCTTTATAATTTGGTAAAACTATTCAGTGCGTGATGTGTACCTGCAATTTTTATTTTACAAAATAAGACCATTTTCTGGTAGGCGACTAAAAGTTAAATCAGTGAAATAAGTTCTGTGAAAAAATCTGTTTCGATAATTGGACAAAAAGCTTTGCAAGTTTCAACTTTTAAGCCGGTTTTCTCGAGAACTGTTGATCATACAAATCTTTAAATCACATTAATGGACTCAGTTTTGTTGTCTCTACAATCCAACAGAGAAAGAAACTTTTAAAGACAATTTTAAAGAAATTGATTTTTAATCTTCTTTGACCATTTGAGCAAAACTTTGTATACCTAATGGTAAATGTGACAATTGTGTCTTTTTAGTAACAACTCTTCGCGAGCTTTACAGGAAGCACGAAGCAATTGAAGAGATCTTACAGTTTTTAAAGATACTTAAGCCATCGAGCTAAGTAATTAGCAAATCGTGTCCATTTAATAAGCAAGTTACATTTAAATTAACTTCATATAGCTTAAACTCTCACATTGTCAGTGTTGCGCATTTGATGCCATTCTCTGAATATCGATATTCGGAGTTTTAGGATGGGATAATTGTGTCTTTTAACAACTCTTATTATGAAATAATGAATATTTTTTTCAATTTTCGGGAAAAGGGAATCAGTTTCAGAGCCCAGCTTCAGGTGCTTATTCAAATTCCATGTAATAAATGTTGTCTGGATACTTATCTCTGGCCTCTTTGGTTATATTGAGTTTCATGTCTAGGTTTAATATCCAACAATATTGCTCGAAAAAGTAAATCTAGTTTCTTATGTGGTCTAAATGCTCGGCGGAACTCTGGCTAAGCAATTAAAGGACTTGAGAAACGATTAAATCAAATCCAGGAAGAGCATGCAAAGGCTACTGCTGATTTGGGTAGAGCAAATGAAGATCTTGAAACTAGAGCTAAAACTTTACACGGTGTAAGTTTTCAACCTGAAAATTATAATTTGTTCAATTTCATTGAGTTTTACAATTGTCTTAACATCTCAGGCTGAAAATGAATTGGCTTCATCGTCAAGAAAAGTCCACAAGTCTCCCAAGCTGGTGAAGAAAGTGAAAGGTAATTGACCAATGAAACCTGTTCAAGTTATGATTATTCATTGACTTCGTCTAAATTTTATTCCTAACATTTCTAACAGCTTACGTAAAATGTTTGAACATCGTTGTACCGTTGACGAGAAAAGACTAAAAGTATTGGAATCCCAGCTCAAAGAGGCCAGAAATACCGTTGAAGAAGCTGACAAAAAATGTGATGAGGTTAGAATTGGACATTTTGGATTTTTAAACGATTCTAATCTATTTTAATTTAATGCAATTTTTTCTCAACATAGAAACATAATTAGCCATGTTTTAAAAACCATATAAAAATTGATGCTTTCAGAATACAATTCGTATTTTAATACAAAAAAATGATATTTCAAGCCACTTAAGCTGATTGGAATGCAACTTTCTGATTAAATAGACAGGATTTTCTGATTACTAAGCCCCATGGCATCAAAGGGATTTAAAGCTGTCATTTAAATACAAAACTAAGCTCCGATAAGTTATAACACATGTTGACACACATGTTTGTTTGTTTACGCTTAGTGAGGCTAGCAATGCTTTTTTGCCTTTTAATTTACTTTCAACAGTAATTTTGTTTTCCCATATTTAAATTATTAAACCGTTTGTAGTTCAAATTATGGATTTTCAGCTGTCTAATAGTGATACAGTTAAATATTGCCCATCGGTTGCTGGTATTGTTGATGAATCAACTTATATCATTGGCTGTTACCAGTTGGTTGATGAAGGTAAACAAATAAACCTTTCTCATGACCAGTTAATCAAAATCAATAATCGACTTGGATGTTTAATACTAATCAAATCATCAAAGGTTATATTTGAATACGATTGTTTAGACGGTGGTGTATTTGACTTGGCTGTGGTCCAAACTGACGACTCTACAAACGATGGCAACCATCAATTTTGGGCAGCTCATTCCAATGGATCAGTTGCCTGTTATCACATAACCAATGGATCCATTAAATTCAACAAGAGCATAGTTTCTGGTAGCTCTATGTTGTGCTCATTAACTATATTGGATGATTTGATATTTGTCGGTGATTCAGAGTCAAAAGTGATTGCCATACAAAAAGATAAGGTAATAGCAGAATGTAAACTTGACTCAACTCCTTATGGTGGTAATGATCCTGTTTGGTGTCTCAAAACTATTTACTTAGATCCAGATAAATGTATCGTCCTTTCTGGATCTGAAGATTCCCAGCTGAGGTTCCACTTTTTCCAGTCAGGCTCATTCTCTCAGGCAATCAAGGTTGTTAAAGATTTTACAGCTGGTGTTACATCAATTGCAATAATCGATAAACCTAAAACAGATGATGAAGGTGATCAAACATTTGATTATATCCTCTACGTTGGATCTTATGATGAAACTATAAGAATCTATAATCTAAATATAGCTGATGAAGGTCCAAAAGCTTCAACGTCAATTCAATTGGTTCTCAATAAAAAAATTCATATCAATGGATCTGGTATCTGGAAAATAATACCAATAAAATCTAATCAACCCTGGCCTTACATGTTGACTGCGTCTATGTATGCTGGTGCTCATATTTTACAACAATATTCAACCTTAGCTGAGATAAAATTGAGTTTACAGGATTCACAAGGCGATGAGACTGGTGAAATTGTATCTGAAAAGGAATCCAATAAACCTAATCATTTGATCTATGGTGTTGCTGGTAAAAATAATTGTGATGAGATCATCGTTACCTCATTTTATGATAAAAGTATTCACATTTTCCGTCGATGTAACAATTGAGACATCATAAAATTATCAAGTACTCATTGCAATGGATACGTTTAATCAAATTTTACCTTCTGTTAATCTATCGGAGTAATCTTAATGTTGATCTCCGAGTTGTTTGGGTGACGACCGTTAAAAAATTTCACTCGTTATGTTTGAATAATTGATTGACTTTCATCTTTTTTAAAGATATTTTGTATTGATTTAGAAAATAAGAAATTTTTCATCTTTTACAGTGTTTTGTTTCAATGATTGATTGCTGATAAAAGATAAAGCTTACAAATATTTATTTAGCTTCCATCAAAGATCAACAATTAACTTTGAATACTGGAATAGTCAGCTCAAAAAAAACTGTTGCGTTCTAATACATATTATTTCAAATTCATTGACACTCAGTGATACTTTGGGAAATAAACAAAAGATAGGGAAATAGAAGTTATTACATGATAAATATCTGTTGAAATGATGGGATGAGTTTTTTACTTAAGAATGAGTGCAAGAGAAAAATTAATTTGAGTAAAGAACATAATGATGACTACAAGGTTGAGATGATGAGAGTGTTATTATAAAGTAAAAATTATTGATTTAATTTAGTAGAAACTTTGCAATTCAACCATGTGCACTACCAGAGGAATAATTTTTTTTAAAGAAACTCTGTAAACGAGGATCTGTTTTTAACTTGACATCAGAGTTGAATAATCCTTCGTATGGTGAATAGTCAATCTTTGGCGCTGGGATTGAATATAAGCGATAATCAAAGTCACTTTTAAATTCTGTATCGGATGATTTACCAATAATTGAATCTGCACTAAAGGAAGAATTACAGTCACTTAGTGAATCTTTGCTAGAACGTTTTAATCTAGGATCACGAGGTTCACTTCCAGGTAAAGGTGGAGTATCTGATCCTTTAGATCGGGAATCCCTAAAGTCAAGTTGAGAGTTAGATGATCCTAAAGTTGCAGGTGAAGTATTTGCTAAATTGGTTCCACTAAGAATATTTTGCCAAAAATCAGCATGTTTATCATTCGTTGTATTAGTGGGTTGAGTTGAGGTTACTTGTATTGTCGTTTGACGAATCACGTTTAACATTTTAGCGATATCTAGCTTTGTTTTGTTGGGTTTTTTCTCTGTCAAAGAATCATGAGGTTTTATAGTTGCGGGGATATTTGGAGTGTCTTTTAAATTTTTCAAGGCTGCTTTGACAGGTTCATCTTCAGTATCATCATCAGAGTCAGATAAAAGCTGCTTTACTTCTCGATTATCATCTAGTGTTTTGGCTAAATCAGGAGGACGAAGAATTGAATCCATGGAAGTTATCTCACTTTTAATGTTTGACTCATTTATCAGTAGATCACCGGATTCAGAGTCTTCAGAAGCACCAGTTTTTTGATTATTCGACAAACGTTGCAACAAATTGCGAGCCGCCAGAGGCAAATTGTCAGGAATATTAGTTCCAGGTTCTGTTTTTATCGTTACTGAACTAGGAACAGATTCAGTTGATTCTAGAGAGGAACTAAATGAGTTTAAGTTTTGATGCTGTCTTGATGTTGAATTTGGCAAATTTTCGTGGCCAAGTTGATTAGTATCATCACGTCCAAATGATTGAACTGGTGAAGTAATTGGGGCTTGATTAGAGGTTGATGATGAACTCAGGTTATTTTCAAGAGACACTATAGACGGTGGCCCATTGAAATTATTTACAGCGTATAAGGGAGGAGGAGGGCCAAGATTAGATGATTCTTGGTATGAAGAGGGAAAACTAGTAACAGGAGGAAGATTTTCTTTCAATGGAGGTAATGGCATCTCTTCCGACATCACAGAATTAGAAGCAGAGTGGTGATTATTTACATAAGACGAAGAGAAGGAAGAAGGTTGATTAATATTAGCTTTAACTAGCTCGGGTTGCATCGGTAATAGCGGAGGAGGACCTGATGCTATCGCCGCATTGGACGGTGTACTATTTGAGAATGCTGGCGGCATTTGGAAGGCCATGGATGTTGAGGATACATTTGAGTTTAAGGCTGGCTGATGGAGGTGAGGATCAAAGGGTGTAGAAGAAATTGGATTTATATTAGATTGCTGTGATATAATTTGATTCGATGAAGATGATTGATTTGGTGAGTAATTTGTATAAGGAGATGGAGATTCAACTATTGCTGGACCCGGTGCCCCCATAGGTGGTGGTAGTCGAGTTGGTATTATCCCTGATGAGGGAGGAAGTCTTAAATCTTCATCATGAAAGCTCATCTCAATTAGTCTATCATCATTAACTGGACCTGAAGGTTCAGTGTTTAAAGCTGGATCAGACATGGTGTCAATATAATACGATAAAACTTTAGGTCCAGCACCATGACCTGGCCTCATATCTCTGGAGTCATCGTGATAATAAGAATTATGAATACCATCAGGCTCGGGAGGTTTCTCTGCAATTATAAACTCTTTATCAATGCAGAATAAATTTCTCTTTGTACCTGTATAGCCAATCTCTAACTCTTTCATTTCTTGTTGCCATAGCCATGTGTAGTAAGAGACTCTCATTTCTTGTGTAGGATCACCAAGAATAGCAGGTCGTTTTGGCTTTGTATGATGATTTGAACCATCTCCACGATTAATCTCGTCAGGCAATTCACCGGAATCAAGATAATTTTTAAGTAAACATCGAGTATCCTCAGTTAGAGGTTCATGACTAAAGCGACATTTGTCTCCTGAGTAACATTCAGCACCAGTGTGGTAAAATTTACAAGGAAATTCACCATGCATAAATAGGCAACCTTCACCTTTGCCACAAAAACCTTGAAGATAGAATTTACAAATGTCTTTTTTCTTGGGAGGTGGTGCATCATGGGGAAATGGACAATCAGCTCCCTTATGGCATTTACCATCAAGATAAAATTTACAGGTATTTTTGGGCGATTTTTCACGTTCTCTGTCATTTTCTTTCAATGCTTGATGCTGAGGAATCACAGGAAGGTTTTGAGATGAGGGTGCGGTAGTTGATGAAGTTGTTGTTGTTGTTACAAATGCTGATGCTGGTGCTGAAGTCGTTGTTTGAGATGATGGTAAAACTGATGAGACTTGCTGTGATTGTTGTTGCTGTTGTGACTGTGACTGTGGTTGCGATTGTGATTGTGCTTGATGATGATGGTGATGATGATGATGTGCGGATTGATCTAAATTCATCATCTTATCTCTGTCTCTAAATCTATCTCGATCGCGATCTCTATCACGGTCACGAAAATCACGACGATCACGGTCTCGCCAAGTCATTCTGTCCATCCGATCCATCCGATCTCTCATTCGTCCACCTCGGCCTCGTCTTTCTCTAAAGCCTCTAGGCCCGAAGCGGTCGAATCTATCACGATCACGATCTCTTGATGCTGGACGAAACAGTCTTCTATTTTGCCGGACAATTTCTCTCATTTCTCTAGTATCAGATCCACCTTGAATACGTTTAATTTTCTCCATCATTTTCTCTAACTTTTCTCGCTTCTTTTTTTGTCCTTTGGTGTCTTTGGTTGTTTTTAGCATTTCCTCCATTTGTTTGATGACTCCTTTGAAAAACTCTTCATTAAAATCAAGCGAATCATCCTCTGAATCAGTTCTATCACTTGGCTCATCATCAGATGAGCCTGTCTCATTTGTTTCTCCTGGTTCTCTTGATGAGGCTCGACGCTGTTTAGATGGTCTCAAACCATTCTCATCTTGTTCTTTTGTTGAAACACTGTCATTTCCTGTAGATTCTTTACTTTCCTCATCTTTCCCATGTTTTCTCCTTTTCCTCTTGTCTGAACTAGCATTCCTTGAAGTTGATGAGGATGTTGATGAGCCTACACCGGAGGTGCTGTTGTTGCTTGTGCCAGAGTTATTGCCACTGGTGCTACTACTACCTTTTTTAAAGTCACTTTTCTTTGAAGATGACCTATTTTCATCTTTTTTGCTCCTTTCAGAGGAAGACCTTGAAGAGGTCTCACGTGAAGAAGAGCCTGAAGGGTTAATCGTAGACGCTGAAACTGAATTGAGAGTTAAACCACTAGTTATCACCCCGGACCCACTTTTGTCACCTTGATTTCCGTATGAAAATGCAGTAGTTGTAGTAGTTATAGATGGTGCATTGGTAGATAAAGTTGTAGATGCTCCTGTTGTTGGTTGCTGATGCTGTTGTGAATCATCATCATCATCATCATCAATGATTTCTCCTTCTTCAGCATCATCGTCCAGTTCTCCTTGTTTTTTACATGGTTCACCTTCCTCCATAATTTGTGTGTGTATGTAAATATTTAAGTGAATTTGTATTTTAGGAAGACTACAGAAACAAACAGAAGTGAATTATTCACAGGCCTACTTGAAAATGAACGCTCTTAGAAATTTGGAAGTGTATATATATCAATGAAAGGTGGAGTCAATGATGTCGAGGAAACCAGAAAAAAGGCAATGATGATGGCGGGTATAAGTGGAAAGAAGAAGGGGAAGTAAATAACAAAAAGAAAGACTAAAAGATAGAGAAGATGATGATGATAATGACTATGAAGAAGTAGAGGAAGAAAGGGAGCGGAAGAGAGAGGGAGGAAAATAGAGAGAGAGATAGGAAAAAAGAGAGGGGAAAAAATGCAAATGGCAGATTAACTAAACTTGTCAAACGAGTAGTGATAATTGTTGATAATCTGTACAAAAATTCTGTGATATTTGTCCAAACACAATTCAAAAAAAAGGTCAAATTGATATAAAAATTAAACAAAAACTCATTTAAAGTTGCAATAAATAACAAGTATTGATTTTTTTCTTCAAATTCTTTCCCTTTTTAATTTCATGATGATTCTCCAAAAAATTTGGTCTCAACGTTTACAATGTAGGTTTAAGGACAAAATAACATTTTGAAAAAATAGTTCCGAGGGGATGTATTGTAATTAAGCGGAAATGGCTGATAGTAACCAGATTAGTTTGGGTCACGTTCGCATTCAGTTAGTCAGCTGTTCATTATTTGAACTCAATAACCTTCATCAAATTAAATCTAAATCGATTTACTCCTGACTTTTCACATTTCAATTCAATTTAAATTTTTCAGACAATCCCTTTAAATCGCAAAACCTGACTCATTCAAATTGTATCACTGGCGCAACCTATTATCTGGTTATCTACTAATTCAAGTTCCTTTCAATGGAATGCTTTCATTATCATTTCAATTCAATCATTCAGTCATTTTTCACTTTATTTACGTCTTTTCTTTTAATTTTATCGTCATTTTATCCGTCATTAGAATAACAATTTGGTAGTTTGAGTAATTTTAATGAACAAAGGTAGCCAAGTTTATTGAATTTAATCTTTGCTATTTAATAGATTATTGAGTAAACATTAGCTATTTGATACATTTGTAATGTAACAATGGTATTTTAATGGTTGTTTTATCTTCCAAGCTCATCTTGATAATTTACACGCTAATTCAATTCCTTATTAAATGTTAAAAGCTATCCGAGATGAGTCAAAAATTGGATTCTTGAAGATTGAAAGATGATCTTGTTGCTATCATTCAATTTGGTTATTCTTAAAGATTTTTTGATGGCTGTTATTTTGAATTAAAAATTTCATCTTTTATTATTCTACATTTATTTTTAACATTTTTACAATTTAAAATGGAAAGGTTAATTGAAAAATCATTAGAGTTATGAGAATTGAAGTTACAATTGAAATTATTGGAATTATTGAAAATTTGAATTAGCCGCCAAATAATTTTGGTTCAGTTGTTAACCAAAACAATCTCACATGTGTTAAATTCAGTTTGTTTTAAATCAACTTTGTTTATCTATATTTATAAATCATGTATTTTGATCGTTTGAATTTAACTGTAATTAGAGTCTACTGTCATGTTAAATATGTAATTAAAAATCAGATGAATCCTTTTGGACCGGGAGGTCCCTTTGGTCCAGGTAATTTTGTAATCTTATTTATTCTCGTGTAACCAATTTATAAAAGCAAGCTATTTTCAAATGTTAATCTTTTTTATTTTTTAAATTTAGAACCAGCATTGATGCTAGCTCCTGTTGGATCAAACACCATTCTAGAAAGACTGTGGTCACATTTTGAGAATAATAGATTAAGGTCGAATGAGGATAAATCGCCATCTTTCTTGGACAACATTTTTTTCGCAGTTCCTAAACAACGAAAGACAGTGGAAAGGAGATTGCAGGGGAAATTTGGTGATGATAGATGGGCTCCTCATGGAAGTAAAATGTTGCGGAAACGTTACGATATTGTAGTATGTGAAACTTGTGGAAATTATCGAGAAAAACTGCGTCTTTGCTTACATTGTTTCACCAGAGTAGAGGAAGAAAGTAAGGTAATTAAAGAAGCTATAGCACGACATTATGGATTGGACCCAATTGAAAAACCATGGGAAATAAGGTATAAAGATGATCCTAAAGATCAGGTTAGTGATAAAATTTTGGTTGAAGTAGATAAAGAAAGACCAGAATGGTTTAATAAAAATTTATTACAACGTGCAAACCAAGTCATACCAGAGACAAATGTAACAATTGCCGATGACAGATCTAAAAATTGAAATTACTTTCTCCATAAGCGAAAGTATAATGTAATTGTAGTTTATAAAGAGCATCTTTTTGATTCAGTTTCAAATATTAAAAGTAATAACCAATGATTAATCTCTTCGAGTTTATAAGTTGATTTCCATAATGCAAATTCATCAGGCAATTGGCAATGGTGGACGGAGAACACACAATTCAGCCAGTTCGGGATAATAGAGTCTCAGCGGACAAAACGACCGTATCTTCTATAGTATGGAATCAAGTTATTCTCATGTGTCGCATAATAATCCCTCCACATATCAGCAGATGACGAGTAGTTAAGAAGATAGGCCAGTAACCCGACCGGAGGTCCTTTCCCTCGCCGAGTTAAAAAACCAGCAGGCATACCAAAAGGAATGGGTCCCAAATTTTGTCCCAAACGTGGTGAATCATCCTCATAATCTTTAAATATATCATGGAATCCAAATCTGATTGAATAGAAAAAGCGATCATAAATTGGTTCGATCGCATTACAATGGACAGTCAATTTTTGGTGGTTAAACAACAAAATAATTAGTGGCACAATAAAAGAAACAAAATACAGTTTTCCAGTCATTTTGGAAGCACCTAGGATGCCATTCCTCGATTTAGATGATAAAGTTCACGGTCGTAAAAACACAAAAGCTAGTGATTAGATGTTTACAAATGATCAGATTCCTTTGATATATTGGGCCTGAACACAATCTTAACTTCATCTTATCATCAGGATTTAACCAACTTTACTGATTGCGAAGTTCAAAGAAAAGCTGAAGTATCATAAAATTATCCGTTTTTTGCTGTTACAAAAGGGTGCAATTTGAATTAAAGAACATCGAACTGTAACTTTTACCATTTTTTGTACCGACGACACCCATCGATCAAAAGGGCTGCTCGTTTTGATTGGGAACGGTTGAATGGGCACCAAAAGATTGGAGTCTTTAAAGGATGACAAGTCTTTCGCTCTTTCCCTTTTAAAATTGGTATTAGTGTTTTTCATTGATACAATTGACGGTTTGACTGGTTTTGGGCAATAAGGAGATGCAAAAGGGAAGGAAGAGAACAAAGCTAATTTGTCTTTCTGAATTGTAAATTAATTGTTTTATTGTAATTAGCTACATTATTAGCTTTATTATAACTTTCTACTTAAGCGTCAGAAAACATGTATTTCCCTCACTTTCACTTTGTTGCTAATCTTAGATCACAATCTTTCATAAATTATTACAATTTTAAGGTAAACTAACCAGATAGTTCAGTCTTTCATGATTAACTATCATTTATTTTCAATAATCAAGTGTTTAATATTAGCAAGTTGAGCACTTAAATACAAAATAACATGGTTTTTGGCGATTGTTCACTCACATACGAATCAAAGTTGAACTATTGCTGGATAGATTTAATATATCCTTGATTAGTATTCACTAAGCTTACTTCAATAAATTAACTATTACTAGTTTTAATCATAAAATTGAATCACAGCAAGTATAAAAAATAAAAATTAAATTGTCAACATTTCATTGAAGCGAGGCGAGTTTAATAGATGAGCCCAATGTTAAAGTTAATCTGAAGATGATTGTAAACATTAAAACATTCAATACATTTAATACTCTCAATGTCATCTGATCTACTGTTTAATCACTGAATTTAATGGTGGATGACTGTTTAATATCATCAAATTATCCCCAAAAAATGAGCATTAAAGTAATCCAATAAATTGTAAAAATAATGTTAATTGATATTTGTCACGATAGATGCCAGTATTAACCATTAGCTAAGGCAAATTTGTTTAGTCAATAAAAAATTTTGTTTGCTAACAAATCTAATTATTCAATTAATTGTGACACTTGAAAGATTAATAATGAAATGATGTTTCAATAATATGACAAATTAGTTATCAGACACAATTTAATTCAATTTATTCTCATACCATAAGGCAAACAACCTTAAATATTAACATTGGAATGTAAGATGTCTGTAGCAACAAATTAATGATTGGGTTGAAGGTTAAATTGGGTTGAACCCGATTTCACTGTTTACATTAATTCATTGTAATTGATGTAATTTGCCCTGAATCCTTGAGATAATACAAATTGAAACATTAAATTGTTTAGTGAAGTCAAAATATTCAAGTGTTTGCCATAATAAATGCGCTCCAATGCAACAGGCAATCTAAGAAGCAAAGAGTTGATTAATCAGTGAAATTGACTTTATTTTTTTGAACCATTTAAAGAAACTAATTGATACAATTAAATATTACATTTACCTTAGACAGCAAATATCAATTGTAACCAAGCAATGTCTGTAAAAGCTGACTCGTAGTCAGACTGATCTTGATACAATATTAGATGAAATTACACCAAGAATCCCATTTCAACCCATTATTTACCCATTTTAACTCACATTGATCAATTATGAATCTTGAACTGATTTAACCAGTTGATCTTGATGATTTTATTGGCAAGAATAATTGCTGTAAACAGTAAAATGAGCAACTTTTCCATATCAATTGAGACACTTGATGCTACCATTTTGTAATTGATCAAGTCTGTTGGTTTAATCACCAAGAGGAATGTCATTAACCTTAAATAATAAGATTAAAATTATATTAACAATAATATGGTTACAGTTAGGAATGCTTGGTTAACAATGATTTTAAGTTACAGAGGTAAGTCAAATTAGCAATTGAATATGTTAACAATGGCAACACACTCACACAATACATTCAATTGAGCATTGAAAAGCAAACTGGGTTAAGTTGTTGATCAACAATCAACCAGGGATTGTCATTATTAGGATCATTAATTTTCATCCGAGCGAAATCTAAAGCAAAACAAAGAAGGGAATCAACAGTTAATACAAAATATCAGGTAATGCAACATAATACATTAAAGTAAAATAAACCCAGTGACTTTGCAGTCAAAGTGATTAACCTTTTCATTGCCTTGTATTTATTTGTTTGAGTTATAACCAACAAGATGATGTATTAAAATAATTTTAATTGTTTCCAACGAGAGTGAACAACAATCATAAATCTTGAGTCTCATCTTGAGCGGCATCACACTTTTGGGTTTACTTTCACTTTGTACAAGAAGGCAATTTTTGTGCCTCTCACCTTTTTTTTGCTGGCCCATACGATTGAGGATCATTTTGATGGGTTTCAAGTTGAATTGAAAGCTTTCCCTTTACCATTCATCCTCAGCCAGTTTTAATGTTCACGTTTTTAAGTACATTAAAATCAATGATTTTCAAGTTGATTCCATGAGCTTTTGCCTTGAAAAGGTATTTTATAGACCAAAATCCATTTGCAATACAAATTTGTAATGAGCTCCGTTTCACAGACAACACTCAATTCAATCATCTAATCGGCTTAACGAAATATCTTGTTTCTTTCCAAATCCTTAAAGTCATATAGACGAGAACAAGTTTACCAACAATCGACTTAAATACGCCATTATAACATTTGTAGCATCCATGTGATACACACACCTCCATAATGAGTTGAACAATTGAATAGATTTAACTGTTGATTCCAGCAGTAAAAGTTCAGTGCAATCTGAATAAAATCTAGTAGGCAGACTTTAAGATGATCATAAAACACAATAGTTTAAGATTTTAACAATAAAAGAAAATAAAAAACTCATTAATTGCAATTATAGACACATTAAAAGGTAATTAATATTCAAATTATCATAAAATCGGACTTATCTTGATTCTTTTTGACCAATTGTCTCATCGGAACCATGTTATACCACATTACTGCTGTAGCCTACCAAAAATGCAGCGAGGAGTAATGAACAAGTGGACAGCTTGAGTATCGACTCACATTGGGTGAAAAATGTAGAGGCCTTCGTGTTCAGTAAAAGGAATGCATAACTTATAGAACATAACATGAATTCAGTCATGTGAGAGATCTGTCCAAGGAGCGGGAAATCTGTCCAGAGACGAAATTATAGATTGTTAATTCAAGAGCAATGGTAAATGTGTAGATAATTTAGGTTTGTTTACATCTTAAAGCATCGAGGTTTCCTAAACGTGAAGCAGACGATCCTTTTTGGTAACCACATCAATCTTTGACACGGACAAATTTTGGCAATTCACCAAATTAAACGGTTATCATCAATTGGTTGAAGTATGTCACCACCAATACGTCCACTCTTGTTGAAAACTAACACACACGATGTCCATTATTCAGCGGATTGATCTTGTGAATTTGTCTAGTTGCTCAGTTTTTTCATACAAGTCCATCTTTGATGAAGGCAAACCATATCTTTTGACACTCATACAGAGCCACAATGTATTCACAATCCTCAGTTTTGACCATTAAAACCTTCATTAATAAACAAATAATTGGGTGTAAAAAATATGTAAATATCAGAAAATTAATAGACAAAAAATAACAGAAACAATTTATAGTAATAATTAACAGTTAAAAACTTTCCAATTTTCAGTGGCTTTCTAAAGTGATGTAAAATTTTTACTACAGATGTCACTGTTAAAATTTACCTTATTTAATATATTAATTGGTTAAAATGATAATGTTGAGAAGAAGTGGAAAAGTTAATGTTAAATATGATAGTTTAAGAAAAAGTGTTAAGAGTTGATTTCTTCCCAGGTAATTTACAAAGGTGAGGTCAAATAAGGAAAATGTATAAATTGTAATGAGACTTTAATAGCCCAGCCTTTCATGTTTTGTTTCCAGTGTTGCAAAAGTCTTCATCGTCTGCTTTATCTTTTGATGTGTTCCTGCTCAACGTTTAATTTCTAGTCTCATCGCGCGCCCATAAATATACCATAAACAAAGCGAAAGCTTACCATTGTTAATTATCAATGTTGGTCTATTTTTAATATTAATGTTAAGTTAACTTAAATAGTTCTGTCATTAAACTAGTGTTCCCCCTCAATGTGCAACAATCACGGCTCAATCATCGTCAATTGAAAGACATCTTGTTTACTTTTGTTTTTCTTTTCTCTCTTACCTTGCCTTTTCTTTGGTTTTTCATATAATCAATTAATTAATCCCATTTGTTGTACCTCACTGTAATCACCACAATCATCATCAACACACTGCCTTTATCAAACAACATAAACCTTCAAAATAACCATCAACCACATTATCCACCATTGGTAAACCAGATTCTCATTGTTACCCAAATCTGGTTTCAAAATGAGAACAAATTTGGATAAACTGTTCGTCATCTGGCTAGTTATTCATTCAGTCAATTCTTATCGTCCTTTCAGAGGTAAGATTTGCATTGTTATTGATATTAAAACTCATTCCACCATTAACCTCATCTTAACACTTAAACAATAACACAAAGGCAATTAATTGGGTCGAGAGTAGTGAAGATGATTATGATATGACAAAGAAACCCAAGTCTACCGAAAAAGGCAAAGACCTGGTTATTCCTTTACCCAATCTTTGATTATTAATTATCTTTTTTTTAATATTAAATCTTTCAATCTTTCATCAACAGAAATTGCACCTCCTGATGATGAAGATTTTTCTATTGGTGGAAGTGGTGATGGTCCTGATGATCGTGAAGGATACATTGATATATCAAAGCCAAATTGTAAGTAATCTCAGCCAGTTATAAAACCCAGATTCACCATCAACTTATCTCATCAAATCTATGGATCTATCTACCAGTTTTCAACCAAATTAGTGTTTTTAGAAGCTTTTTTTACACTCATTTATATCAAATATTTAATCTTGAATTAAGTCATCATTATCATACCTTTCATTGATTTGTTTTCCTTCTTCCTTGATTACTTGTAGATGCATGTTGTTACCTTTCTACTAGTTTTGCGTTAATCTTGTTAATCATGTTCTTATGAAAATTTCTCTGTGGTCAGCATATTATGATGATGATAATTTAAGGTGACCTTGAACTTGATTTAATATCATTATCTTACATTAATATTATCTTGTGATAAATTTGAACCTTTTTCAATGTAAAGCCAATCCTGGCTAACACTTGTTGCTGTTAATAGCAGTGTAGTCAATATTTCACTCTCAAGTATTTATGTTTATTATCATGACATTACACCTTTTGACAATTGAACGCTAATCCAATTTAATCATATTTTCATGATTAACTAGCATTTATTTTTCCAATCGCCCAATCCATTGGGTTATTGAACTTTACTTTTTTGGTAAATCTTTCAATTCACTTTTAAAATGCAGTTTCAGTGGTAATTTTGTAAATTAATGCAATGAATCAATTGAATGAGACAACTTTCTGATTTACTGGAATCAGCTTCATTTTAAATTATCAATTGCCTTCAATTTTACAATATCTTAACCCCTGAAGTGGTCATAATTTGACTCTTGACTCAAATGCAGCAATCTTTGACAAGTTGATACCAAATTTGATCAGATTTTGATCAAAACAAGGTTCAATATTTTGAAAATAAATTAAAGGTTAAACATGATAATCTGAACATCCTTAACTGAGCTGAGCTTATCCTGAGCTTGGTCCGTAATTTGATAGATTGTAATGTTGCTTTCATTTGAAATCTTTTACCAAATTTTCAGTTCAACTCTGATTTGTTTCTGTATCAAGATTAAACTGAGTTTATCAATTTAGGATGAAAATTGTTGAATTATATATCATTATGTATTAATTATCACATTTTCAGTCAATATTACCATTGATCAAGTCAAGTTGAATTAACAGATTATTATGAGAAACACATTGACAAGGTTGCAATTAAACTTGTTTAACAAACCAATCATGTTAAACAAAAAGACTAACAAATACAGGAATTAAATTATCTTCATTTCCAATCATAATGATCAACAATTAACATTGACTTTTTGAATGATTAAAAAAAGTGTAATCTCTCAATCCTAACTACTTATACCAATATTGATCAGAAGTGAAAATACAAAACTATGACACTTTATTTACTCTTGAAATTGATTGTCACTTTAATTCTTAATGATGATCTATTAATATATAACATGCAAACTTAATCATTTACCATTTAACAGAAGTCACACTCTTATAACAATTTACTCCGTGTAATTAAGGAAACACTGAATTGTCCTGGAAAACTCTGAAAATTGTTAATCCATAAATTACAGGCTCTTAATCATCTGTCATTGATAAATGATTAAAGATAATATATTCAATAATAATTGTTTATTTACCTGTCAATCCTTTTCTCGAAAGCAATTGATTTAAGTGTTGTTTACCTATTAATAACTGAATGGCAATGAAATTGCAATGATTAACTTCCGTGATTCCTTAATAACAATTTATATATCAAATGACAAATGTCTGTGCATTCAAAGTCATTAGACATTCATTCAGCCTACACTTTTAATTGTTGAATAAAAAGCTAATTGTTGACAAAGATTGGGTTTACACACCCGATGTGTGAAGTCAGACAATTGATTATCTTGAAACAATCATTTAGGTGTCTTAATAGTTGCACCAAAAGTACAATTGTCATTCCTAATGATTCCTCTGTAAATTGTATGCATCACAATTAATAACTTAATTATTCAACATTTTTCAACATTGAAAGTCATTTTGACAGCCATGATTCCTTTCCAGGTAATCTGATCTAAATTGATTTATGATTTAAATAAGGATACAGCTTACGTCACAATTTGTACTTCATTTGACAAGGTTAAGATGTGTCATCATGAAAAATTATAATCGTTGACTAGAACCTAATTTGCAATTAAAACTAATTTATTTTGAAAACACTGAAAGTAAATTCATTAAAAATCTTCAAGAATTTTAATCTTAAACTTGTCAGCTAAATTGTCAGCCTTTGATCAATGTTTTGCTTGAAAATGTACTAATTAAGCTTGAAAATTGCTGTTTTATTTTGTAATTTGTATTTGATTTGAAAAAAAATTGTTGCAAAAAATTCAATATCAACGATTAAGTATTTTTAATGCCACTTGAGGGCAACACTGTACAGAATTTGTTTAGTAAGCAATTTTTCTCAATCTTTTAGTTAAATTCAATTAAATAGTTAATTTAATCAAATTTGCTCTTTTGATTTTTGTTTTCAATTCGTGCTCAGGGATTAAATTCATAAGACTGATGTTTCCAACAATTTGTGCTACAAACGTAGGTAGATATTGTGGGTATGAAGGACGATAAAATAAAACATTTTGCTCGACTTGACAAATGAAGAAATCTGAATTAAGAGGCAAAAATAAGAAGAAATAAATTCTGCTTTCAATCAGTTCTTAAAATCACACTGAATTCAAAGAAAGCATTCAAGAAATTTGAGTTTTACAATGAATTCATAAATGACAATCCAATGTTCATTTAAGCCTCAGTTCTTGTAATTTTCATTGAATATAAAATCTTATGAAATGAGTCTTTTTCCTTGTCGTTTTAATATTTGTAATTTTGGTGATTTTCATTTTATTTTCTGTTCCCTTGAACAATCGTCCAGCACTGCTATGCTCTATGTATTGGGTATGAACCTGGGAGATTCCTATTCCTGTATTGAGGTGAAATCAATAGAGTTTGTTGATAACGTGATTTTTGCAATGAACATTTTGTTTGACTATTTGCTAAGATAATTGGATGAGATTGATTGAATTCAGTAAATGATAGACATTGATATATTCATAATCATAAGTGTTAACCATATCTTATGTTAAATTGAGTTTTTCAAGATTTATAATACTTGAAGTGATTCAATTGAGTTAATCATTAGACTGGGTGATGGAAGGGTTAATTATTAAATTGATTGTTTAAGTTAATTCAAATGTACACTCAAGATTGCAAAAAAAAAAACGAATCAAAGAAAATATTAGATTACAATGATAAGTTAACAATAATAATTATTCCTGGGATTTGAAGCAATTTACTGTCAATCATATTGAATCGATTCAAAACAAGGTTTAGTCTGAAGTAGATCAACTTTAAATTAAATTGCTTCAAGTGATTTACAGAGAAATTTATTTTCCCATTAAAAGTATTATGTTATTGAAATCGATATATAGCAATCAACTAGCAAAATAAGGGGAAAATTAATTGTTATTTATGCAACAACACTTGATACTTATTAATAGCATTTTCACCTCTTATTTTAGAGCAACAATCAACTGATTTAATTTCAATTGATTGTATAACTCGTATTGAAAGCTGAATTTGAAAATTTTTCAAATTGAAATTGGTCACAAGGAATCAAAATGTAACCTTACTTTCAATATTTACATTGATTGGATTCCTGGGTTGACTAATCTATTGATTTAAGGAAAATAATTATTACTGTACTCTGATTGTTTATCTTGAAATTACCCATAATTTATCCAATCTAAGATTAATCAACTTCCATCATCACTTGGCTGAGAAATAAGTGAGCTTTTTGAGCAAAGTCCTCTTTTTTTCTTCTCTTTATTTTTCATCTTCTCAGTTTTTTTCACTCCATTATCTTCAAGAGTTATTTGATTGTTCAGATTGATGAAATTGGGATGAAAAATGTATGAAAAAAGGCCGAAGAAACTTATTTATATCATTATTATCATTACATCATTGAACTCATCATAATTCAAAGGATATCAATCGTTACTGTAATAGTAAAATGGGAACAAAAATTGACTCCACAAATCGTTTATATTATTTTACAATAAAATGAAAATTTGATGGGTTTTCGATCCCACAATTTTGTACAAAAAATTTGCATTTAGATTCAACATTAACTAATTTGTCTTCAATTGTATCTCTTTACAGTGAATAATGTAAGCACACCAAAAGCAGATTTCAGAGTTAATGGTCTTGCATCCAAATGGCCACCTTATAATTATGGTTACTATACGACTCCATCAACATCTTCATCTTCATTTTACTCATATTCATCTCATTCCCACTCACAAGCATCATCAACATTACCTTCACTGTCATGGTCAACCGTCTCAACATCAACCACAAGTTCACCTTTATCAATACCCAGTCCCAATGCACACTGGTCAAGCTACAATGAATATAAATCAATATCAAACAGTTATGAAAGCAATTATGATAGAAACTATGATAGAAATGATAACAATTATGATAACATTTATCCGAAAGTTGATCGGGATCGTATTGACATTCGAGTCTATCCAATAAGTCAAATAATTTATACAACCCAAGAAGTGGTTATACGCTGTCGAGATGAAAGTTACCGTCGTTTACCAGTTAAATGGAGTCGATCAGATGGTCGACCAATGTCATTGGAGGCAACCGATACATCAGGTCGTCTGGTTATCCCTAACATCAAGATGTCTGATGGAGGCGAATACAAATGCTCACCGCTTGACCCAACTTACCGTCAAAGCTTCAATTTATCTTCAGTTATTGTTTATCCAAGTAAACTCTTTTATTGTATTTCAATTTGTAATTTAACATTTTAATCACAACATTAATTTACTTGAATTTTTCTTAACAGTTGAAAGTCTTCATAATCGTCAACCAGACTATCAACCATTCACTTGTCACCCTGGAACAAGAAAATGCCCATCTTCTACTACCTGTATTCCTGAGCAATATTTCTGTGATGGAGAATCTGATTGTCCTGGCAGTCGAGATGAAGAGGATTGTGGTGAGTTTATCAAATTACCAAATTCATCAAACAGTTTATTAATTTTCTGTTTTTGATTTTCTTCTAGAATCGTGTAAACTATATCAATTTAGATGTCGGAATGGCCAGTGCATTGAAAAGACTAGACGTTGCGATGAAAAACTTGATTGTCGAGATGGTTCAGATGAAATGGATTGCAGGGAGAAAGGTTTGCTTGTTTTTAAATGATTCATTTAGTATTGGAAATAAGTCAAATTGCTATAGACATAAATTAAACTATTGAATGGTAATCATTTGCCAACTTGCCGATTTGATAATCATTGCAATGTCATTATCAAATTAACTGCTTATTCATATATTTAGCCTTAAAGCCACAAAATTTGATAACCAAGTCAAAAACAAAAGTAAGTATAAATGCATTAAATATCTATTGCTTTTTGCAATTTATGTTTAAAATAAAAAGATGAACTTATGTTGATGCTGGATTTATGATATATTATTGGTTATTTACTAAGTTGATTAATTCAATCAATAATAAGTATCAATTGAATCAACAGCAACAAAATAAAAACAAAAATATACCTTCCTCTTTAAAGATAAGGTGGTGATCATGATGATGGAAACTGTATAATAGTTCTGTTGAAGAAAAGGTAATAATTGATTAAGATTATAACTGAAACTTTTTTTTCTCTATTTCTTCTCAGGTCAACATTCTTTACCGTTAGATTGAATTAAGTTATTGATTACTTGCAATCTTTGTGATTATCATTCATTAATAGAGAAGGAAAAGATGATGGCTTGAAGACGCAAAATTATCCTCTCAAGACAAATCATTATCTGACAAGAAACATCTCTTAAAAGCCACTTCTTGAAAACGTTTCTTGACATATAACCACAAATATACGCACTTACACGTCCCTCTTTCAATAGGAAAAGAAGAAGACAAAAAGGAAGAAAGTAAAAGAAATAGATTGATATACTTTCTTTTTCTTATAACGTTTTCTTCTTTCCTTTTGATATCTTTATTGAGATAATCTTGAAGCCCCTAAGCAGCAGATATGACATTTTGACTCTTAATTGTGGCCATTGAGTTGATTGTTTCATCAGTTTGATTGTCACCTTCACACGGGCAAGATGTTGCCCAAAGAATCAATAGATTGTTATAATGCTAAATCATATCCATTATCATCACCTTTTTCATCCTCTACATTGACATTAACTTCATCCTCTTCGTCCACCAAATGTTTAACCAAATCAAAAAGGAAATACCATTCAAATGATTTTACCAACTATTTTAATGTTTCACTAATTGTTATCTCTTTGATTGCTCTGTTAACCCTTGACACTGTTTCCAGTTTAACATGTGCAGTTAATCAATATCCTTGTGCTGATGGGAACCAATGTGTTATTGAAACCTATCTTTGTGATAATGACAAGGATTGCGAGGATGGATCAGACGAGACACGATGTTGTATGTTTTAACTTTTAATCACAATCTTTTAATTGTTGATTGAACTCAATTTTATTTCTTTTCTTTCTTCAAGCACCTCCGAGTTTTGTTGATGCCGATTTTGGTGATCGATTCCTGGCAGAAGGTGAAGATTTATCATTATCTTGTCGAGCTGTTGGATTTCCAACTCCACTTATCCGTTGGAAATTTAATGATCATTTCATCACTTCCCATCATTCACGTTATCGTAATACAAGTATCAATGGTCATGGTAAACTATCCATTACTGGAGCCCGTAAAGAAGATGAAGGAACCTATGAATGTGTCGCTGAAAATGCCAACAATTATATACATTCAAATTCAGCCGTTAAACTGCGAATTAGATGTATGTAACATTGATTTATTTTTTTTCTCATTCATTTCGCCGTTTTAATAACAAATTTCTTGTACACAGCATCTAGAGACAATGAATTCAGTGTGACACAATTCAATCCAGAAATAAGATACGAAGGTTATTCAGCATACAGTCCGCCAAGAGGTTTGTCACAATTTAATTAATCTTTTGATCCCACATTGAATTGATTACGATTTATGCAACTTTTAAAATCTACACTTACTGTTTTATATCAATTAATCTTTAAATTTGTTTTTATCTCATAGGTAACAATTTTTTCACAATTGTTGCAATTTGACGTTTTTTGTTTAATTTATGTCTATAGCAGTTATACTTAGTTTAATTTATGCTCAAAATTTATTTCTATATTCAATTTTAATTATAATTAACCATGTTTTTTGTCACTAGAAACGAAGGTACCTTTGACATTGTCAATTGTACCACCTTTTATGGATGTTGAACGAGGTTCTTTTGTTCAATTTGCTTGTGCATCATCAAACCCAAGTGCCAAGTTAGCCTGGGTTTTTGAGCAAGGTGAACTACCAAGAACAGCTACAGTCGTAAGTATTTAATATTAATTTTATCGTTAATCAGATTTAACTTTATGGGAATTTGGTGGAAATTAATTTATTTATGATAGATTGACTTCATATTAATCATCTCTTTATCGTTATATGAAAATTGTATTTCATCAAAGGCAAATTTTCAAGTATTTTAGGAACCATCATTTTCAACCATTACTTTTATCATTGATATTGAATTGTTTCTAATTGATTTTAATTCTAGATTGGTGGAACTTTGACCATTCGCAATGCTCAAGAATTTGACCAAGGAACTTACATTTGTATGGGATCTGATTCATATGGTACCAAAGCAGAGGCACAAGCTAGATTGACGGTTCGACGACCTCAATCATTGGTTAATGCCAATGTAATTCCCAGTTATATTGAGGTACAAGAAGGTGGTAATGTAATGTTATCATGTAACTCATCAGCACCAGGAAGTTCATTTGTTTGGGCATTTAATCGTGGTAATCTTCCTCCTGGAGCAGAAACAGTAAGTTGTTTAAAATGTTTTCATCTTTGAAATAACAAATTTTCATTTCTAATTTTATATTAGATTAATAACCAATTGCGAATCTATCAAGCCAATCAAAGACACTCGGGTCACTATCGATGTATCGTTAAATCTCCTTATGGTACCGGGGAAGCTTACTCAATGGTCAACATTAATCCAGTCATGACTGAAAGACGACCATCAATGATTGTTTCTCCATCTCATGCTGAAGCTGCTCTCGGATCAATGGTCAGATTCCGATGTAATGCAACCGATCCACGACCAAATCAAATTATTTGGCAATCCAAACGAGGTGGCTTACCTTTTGGAGCAAATCAAAGTAGAGAGATATTAACAATTGGTCCCATTACCGATATTCATTATGGTGAATACATTTGCATGGTAACAAATTCATATGGCCGTAATCAGCAAACTGTTGAATTACATCGAGCTGGTGGTAGTGCTAGTAGTGATGTAGATAATCAAGATGGACAAAATCAGCCTACACGTACAACTTTAGGACCAGTTATTGAGATACAACCAGCTGCTGGATTAAACTTGCCTTTAGGTGAATTAGCTAGATTTGAATGTCGATCAAACGAAATTTTGTCTGATGAGTTACGTTGGATAAGCTCATCTGGAAGTCTTCCTGAAGGAACTACAGTTGTAAGTATTTAGTTTTACCTTTAAATTTGATTATTGTATTAAATCTAATTTAAAAATTCAATTCATTTTATTTTTAGAGCAAAGGAGTTTTGGTTATTCCATCAATTACCGCTGCTCATTATGGCATCTATGCATGTGAGGCCAGAAACTCTTATGGAGTTTCGCGTAAAAGTGTTGAACTTCGCCCACCCTCATTAAATCCAAACATATCACCACCTTACCGTCCTGTAACTGGACCCATTGAAGCTACAATTGAACCACAACAGCAAACAATTGTTCAGGGTAGTTCAGGAATTCTTCGATGTTTAGTAACCGGAGATCTAAATGCTGCTGTAATTTGGTCAAAAGTAAACGGAAATTTAACCGATCGACATCGAATTGATGGTGAAATAATGAGAATTGAAAATGCAATTATCAATGATAGAGGTTTGTACGTATGTAAAGTTGAATCATCTCCAGGAGTGACTGTTGCTCAAGGATCGGCAATTGTTGAAATTGAACCACGTGAGCCTCCGGTTGTTGATATTTACCCTGCAGTAACACAGTCAATTCAAATTGGTGGTTCTGCTCTATTCCAATGTCGTCTCGTTGGTGGTATCCCAGAACCCGTAATTACATGGTCAAGAGCAGATAATTCACCTTTAACATCCAACGCTGACATTGTTGAAGGCGGTGTAATCCGATTTATTCGTGTAACTGGCGCTGAAGAAGGTATCTATAAATGTACAGCAGAAAATATTGCCGGTCGAGCTGAATATGAAGTAACTTTGAGAATCGAGCGAACTGAATTTTCACCAAACAGACCACCCTATGTATCACCCCCTGATCCATCGGTCAACCCTCCGGATAAAATTGTCCCTCCTGACCATCTACAACCTTATCGACCTGACATTTCAATTAAAATAAATCAACGAAACCCACTCGTGATTAAAGAAGGTGAACCCTTAGTGTTGGATTGTTTCACCGAAAGCTCAATGGATACTCAAGTAATTTGGATGTCAGTTGAAAAGGGTCAGTATATAACAGAAACTGCAACCAGAAGAAGTGTCTATCAAAAGTATGATACAACAGCCGAAGACTCTGGAGAGTACCGATGCGTTGCCCATAATTCAGCTGGAAGAGCAGAAGAACGTATTCAAGTTGTAATTGAACCAATTTCAGGCCCTCATCCTACATCACACCGTAATCCTCACCAATTCACACCTCCTGCTCCTTCACCATACGAGTCAATACGTAATGTTACTTTAAGTGTTGGAGGATCGACTGAATTCAAATGCCACGCTTCAGGTCCTGATTTAGTTTCTCCCATAATGACCTGGTCACGGGAATCAGGTGCTCTTCCAACCAATGCTTATCAAAGGTCTGAAACTCTGTACATCAATAAAATTAACGAAGACAATAGTGGTACCTATGTCTGCACTGGACGTTCACCCGATGGTCATGTCGTCGTCATTCAAAGAGTCCTTCTCAATGTTCAATCTCAACTGACTCTCGCTCTTGACCCTGTTTCCCAAGTTGTCTCCGCTGGTCAACGTGTTCAAATTAACTGTGTCGCTGCTGGTAATGGTGTTGAACCTGTTCAAGTTACTTGGAACCGTGAAGGTGCAGCAATGTCTCCCAATTCGCGAATCATTGGTGGCCAATTGGTTTTCATGTCAATTTCACCCACTGATTCGGGAAGTTACATTTGTAAAGGAATAAGCTCATTGGGTGAAGCTCGGGCTGTTGCTCATGTACAAGTTGGACCTTCAAGTGTCCCTCAACCACATCATCCTTACCCAAGCGACCCAATTCGTCTTCCTACCCAATATGAAACTCGACCTCCAACTGGTAAACGGGAAATTGTTGATACAAGAGCAAGTAAAACACTATCATGCGACTTCGCACGTATTCCTAACCACATTATCAGATGGGAATTTAATAATGCCAAAATCTTACCAACCAATGCTGCAGTTTTTGGAAATAATATTATGTAAGTAATTACCAAATCATGTTCTAATCAAATTAACTGTCGATTTAATTTTTTTCAATTCACAGTCTAACAAACATTGATAAAAATAACGAAGGACGTTATATTTGTAATGCCCATCTACCTGGATCTGAAAGACCAATTGACCGTGATTTTATTGATCTGATTGTTAGAGGTAAGAGATTTTAATTAATTGCATGTTTCATATCCTGGCTGTTCAATTAATTCATCCTGCATGTCTATCATTTGTTTGTTTCAATGTTTGCTCATATTTTGTATCCGCGTTTAAATTGATAATACCAAACACTGCATGAGATTTAACAAATCTTACCACTAATATATCCATATTTTTTGCTTGCAATTTCACCGTAAATTACTGACCAAATATTCCATCTTTAAAGTTAATTAAAGGTCAAGTGGTTGTGATGATTGTAATCAATGACCATGAGAATAACAATTGATTTGTTCAAGTTTTACAGCTAATCTGATTTACGATAAGTAAGTGTTTACTGATCCAGTGATGTAAACACCAAAAAAACCTAAATTCATAGTCAAGTGTATTCTTTATAAACTATGACAACCTACATTTTATCTCAACAGTTTATCATTATGATTAATAAATTATGAATCCATGTAGATGGTGTAATTTATAGTAGCAGGCAAATTAGCAGAGGTTGCAATTGAAGAGTCGCAAAATTTGTTAATAATCAAAGTGAATATCTTGTTAAATTGATTTAATTATCGTTACATGAAAAGTAAAAGGAGAAATAGAGAGTTTTGAGTGGTTAACATAGAAACTGTTAAATAGTAAAATGATTAAAATTGCTTGAATCATTAATATTTTGATGATTACAGCCAGACTGAAACACATCATGTAAGATGAACTTAGAAGTAAAAGATTTCCTTTTCCACCTTAATCTATGTAATCTGCTATTAAAGAGTTTTTTCAAGCTTATTCATCATTCAATAGATAACTTGATTATAGCCTTTTCAAGATTTAAAAGGTAACAATTGATTGTCAACCTACTTATATATACTTAATCAAACCCATTATTCCTAACACTTGAAATTAATGTGCCAATAATATTCGATTTAAATCCTTATTAACAACAATTTAAATCTAAACCAACACTTGAAGCTTAATAGCATGGTTAAGCTATACTTGGATTAAATGGTAAACCATGTTTAAAACAATCAAACGAACCTCTTTTTGTATACTTTTTCATTACAGATTCAACCTTACCAAGATTGGATTCAATTGACAAAATGCCATTGATTTATCGTAAATCGTTTAATAAAACATTGAAATCATCACCATCGTTTGATGAACATTACTTTTGGAAATGATGAATTAAGCGAGAAAATGATTGATCCAATTTATTTTCCACTTTTAACTTAATTATAAATCTGTTTTTTTACCTGATTTTACTTTTTACTAGCAAAAAAGTTTAATCATGATTGTTGATTTTTTTTTCATTTTGAATCCCAATTTACTTGACTAGACAAGCTATAATCAACAATTGCTTGTACCAATTAACAAAAATTATTGAAATGTTAACCAATTTATAACATTTTTGCAATAACACTTATTATTACATCGAAATAATCAAATTATCATTGACTAATTATCCTTTTTGGCAAAATTTTTAGATGTTTAGTTTTGCATCTGATTACAGTTACAAAACAAAGTATTCAATATCAATTTCATTTCAATTTCTGTCTTCAATTTGCGTGGTTTTATTGAGAAAATTTTCTCATTCCTAACATCTGTTTATATTGAATTTTTGTATGTAAAAGTAGTTGAAGAAAAATGTCTTAAATTGTCTTTAAATTGTTGCTCATTCATTTTAAATAGGCTTGAATTTCATTGTTTCAAAATATTTCTAACATTTCTTTTTATCCTTATTTTTCAGATGTTCAAAGCTGCTCTCCTTATGAGTTCCGTTGCTATGATACAACTTGTATTGAACGGGAACGTCGATGTGATGGAAGACCTGATTGTAATGATGGAAGTGATGAACAATATTGTCCTGGTGAGGAGTTACCTCCGGATTGTGATCGTGATGATTGTGCGTCCCAATTTTTGTCATTTGTTTCAATTGCCCATCGCTAACCTTGACAGTCCTCATGAAAATAGCAATCATAAAGATCATAACCAATTTCACCAAGAAATGCTCATTTAATCAGTTAGATAATTTAGTCAACCAATTTGTTTCAATGTTTCAATGAGATGATCATTGTCAGTCATTCTCATGCGAATCTGAGGCGAGTTCTGTTGACTTGTCATCTGTTTTACTCTTCAGTCTTGTATTATTGTTAGACTGTTAGTATATTTGTAGTTAATAATCCATTATGATGATTAATGTTTGTCAACTTGTCCAGTCTGCTATTACCTCTATTAACATTCAAATTTATAGTGGTAATTGTCTTTTGACCATAAACATTTTGATCCATTTTACCTTATTGTTCCGTTTCTTCGTCTCTTTATCAATTGTCATGATAAATAGATGAAAAGATAGATTGATTTGATTTTTTACAAGTTACAATAGTTTCCTGATGACAATATTTTCCTCAATCTCTTTTCATCATCATCCCAAATTGATTGTTTTGTTATCTTCTTGTATCCTCTTGTGCAGTATTTTCTTATTTCTCTTCATCATTTATCTTTCTTTTTTTTCCTCATTCCTAATCTAATCATTTCCGTCGTTTATTCCCTAGATTCTAGACAAGCTTATCCTCGACAACCTGATACTCGATCACGTTATCCAACTGATCCTCGAACAAATTATCCCAATTATCCTCAACCTAGTTACCCAAGCTATCCTGATACTCGTTATTCACCTCAACATCCAGTTCAAGTTGAAGTAAAAATTGAATCCAATAAATTACTGGTAAATGTTGGTGATGATTTAGAGTTGAGATGTCACGCTGATGGGCCTGATTATCGTTATGAATGGTTTAAAGATATTCAACCAGTAAGGAATGAAAATGCAGAAATAAATCACAATAAACTTTATATTAGAAATGTGAAACCTGAAAATGGAGGTGTTTACACTTGTAGAGCTCGTAATCGATATGGTTACGGAACTGATGAACATGTTGTTATGATTCAGAGAGGTGAGGGGAAAAACCAAAGAATTTCAAATTTTTTTTGTGACTTTAATCGTTGAAATTGAATTTAATATTTATTTATTATTTTTCACAATTAGTTTCACCTCAAGATGAAAACATTGTGCTTGGAGCTGATCTGGGTGCATCTGTTAGACTTGAATGTCCTCGAACTGTTCCTGGTGCTGTTTATACTTGGGCTCGACCTGGTCAAGCTTTACCCAAAGACAGTGAAATCTCGAGCGATCGGTTAATCTTACGAAATGTTAAACCCAATTTTGCAGGACAATATGAATGCATAGCTAAAGGACCCCAAGGAACAGCTGTATCCTTTGTATCATTAGTTGTCAGAAAAGTCATTCCGCGATTCCGACGTGAAATGTATTCCCATATCAAATTCCCATCAATTCCTGATCCAGAGCAGTCATTTGACATTGAAATATCTGTTAAACCTGAATTCGGTGAAGGTCTCATAATTTATAGCTCAGGTCCAAGCAATCCATCTACCAATACCAATGGAAATTTTGTCTCTCTTTCACTCAACCGGGGCATGCTTGAATATCGTATACAAAGTGGATTAGCTGATGTAGTTAAAATACGTTCAACTAAACCTATACCTCTCTATGAATGGACCAAAATTGTTATTCAAAAAGATGGTAATCATGTTGGTTTGTTTATCAATGATTTAGCTGAAGTTCCAGTCAAACTATCAGGTAACAATACTGACCTTATATTGGGTGAACCTCTTTACATTGGAGGAATTCCCAGTACAGCTCAAATCAATTCAGAGGCAGGTAGAGTTGATGGTTTTATTGGTTGCATGTCAGTCTTGAAAATCAAGGGTAGATCAATTGTAATGGCTGATGAAGGTGAATCAGTAAGCATTTCATCTTGTTCAACTTGTTCCACTGATGTGTGCTCAGGTCATGGAGCTTGTCATGAAGACTCTACTGTAACAAACGGATTCCAGTGCATCTGTCATCCTGGTTTTTCGGGAAGCAACTGTTCAGCCAATGTAGACTCATGTAAAGAAGGTTCATGTGGTACAGGCCGATGTGTCAATGTACCTGAAGGCGGATTCGAATGTTACTGTCCATATGGACGAACAGGACTTCGATGTGAAAGGGAAGTAATAATTCGTAGACCTGCATTCGGAGGTAAATCCTATTTAGCTCTTCCAAAGCCGACTGAAAACACAGCATCACCTGATGAAAAGAAGCCTGAACAACAGCCACAGGAATTGAAGCTTGTCATGCAAATCAAACCAAACCTCGAAAAGGAAGGTTTATTAATGTATTCTGGTCAAGATGATTCGGGTAAAAAGGATTTTGCTGCTGTCACAATTAAAAATAGAGCCATTGAATTTGCCTTCGACACTGGTTCAGGGCCTGCGTTTATTAGGAGTCCACAGTTTGAGATTTTAGATGATTTTGTGACCTTTGAAGTAAAAACCATTGAAAATCAAGGTATACTTTCAGTTAATGGTGTAGAGTATTCAGAAAAAGCTCCAGGAGCAGCAAAAAGATTACAATTGGAAACTCCAATGTTTATCGGAGGTGTTAATAAGCAGAAAGTTAAATTACCTCGATCACTTAACGTCTCTCATGGTTTTGATGGTTGTATTGCTCATGTAAGTTTCCTTTTACCTTTACAATATTTGCATTGTGTTATAAAAGTAATTAATCTAATATAGGTAAACATCAGGGTATATATTTAAATAATACCTGACAAACAAATTAACCAGAACATGTTGAAATTAATTTCATGCTGTTTATTCATTAATCTGTCATCAAAATTTAGGTTGAAGTGAATGGTATTGCTGTTGATTGGGCGACCACCGTAGTAGACTCAGCAAATGTTGATGATTGCGGTCCTCATGAGCAATGTACAGAGCAAACTTGTCAAAATGGAGGCATATGTCAACGTGATCAACGTGATATCTGTGCTTGTCTACCTGGTTTCACAGGTAAAGACTCTTTAATTGGCCATTTAAATAACCATTAAATTGTATCTAATTTTTTACCCTTTACTCTTTACCCTTTAGGCTATCATTGTGAGGTATCAACCTTGTCAGCCAGTAGACCAGAGACTGTAACATTATCCAGTGAAACATCTGACAAAATATCAACTACACAATTGATTGAAACAACCAATGGAACCCTTACAATCACCGAATCCCCATAATTAAAGCATCAGAATAGTTAATTGTCAGAATTATTATGCTAAAAGTTGTCATATGATACAATTTTACCTTTTTTAAAGTTGAAGTATTAAACAGTTAAACAGCAACACTAGTTGAAATAAATGTAAAACCAAATAATTTTAACCAATAGGTAACAAAATTGGAACCGCAAAGTACTTACAATGTTTTTAATTTTTTTGTTTATAACCAAAATTAACTAATTTTCCTTCCGTAAACATCCTGCAAGGTTAACAATTGACACCAATTATTTAGTCTAAAACACTTTAAATTGTTGAAATATCAATCAATTGATTTTTTTGTTACAATAATTAGTATAAACTATTTTGATATCTCTTTTATGGTTAACCATAAAATCCTTTGGTTTGTCACTTAAATTAAAACACAATCTGTATTTTTGTCAAACATAATTGTAATGTAATCTTATTAATCAACTGTCACCCGGTAAAAGCGTTTCAATAATTTAGATATTTTAATAACAAGAAATGCTAAGCATTGAGTTTAATTGTAACAAGGAAAGATGATAAATAATTTTGCTTAGGAACTTTAGATAATCTTGAAATGAACATTTTTTACATAACAATCAATTACAGTAGAGTACTCCATAACTTGGTAGAATTTCGTGTTGGCGCCACCTATTGGATTAACAATTTCAGAACCATTTTTATCCAATTATTTAATTGTTTTAATCAAAATAGCTTGAAATTTAGCCAAAAAAGTTGAATTAGCGAGTCGACATTACATAAAAATGGTTTTCCTCCAGTATTAATCAGTTTATTCTTCTAATAACTAGAATGTCTTTTTTTCAATGCTGCTCTTCACTTTTGTAGAGATGCGAAAATGTTCTATTCTATTGAATAATCAAAATAATGAGTTTCTGACTTATTCCGATTTGTTTAACAAGAAATTTCTAATAATTCTAGTAAAGTTGACTCGCTAATTCAACCTTTTGTACATGCTAAGCATTGAGTTTAATTGTAACAAGGAAAGATGATAAATAATTTTGCTTAGGAACTTTAGATAATCTTGAAATGAACAAGTTATGGAGTACTCTACTGTAGCTATCATATAATATCACATTTAAAAATGTTATTACATTTCTTGATTGTAATCCATTTCAAGTGTTAAATCAATACCAAATGAAGCGAGATAAATTTTAACCTTTAAGGTTTATTACCAACATATTGTAGTTACATTACAATATCAAGCAATTGCGTTTGCATTTAAAGATAAACTGACCAGTTTATCCCAATTAATACAATAATTTTGTCCTTTAACATCATTAACCTTATTTTAGATAAATGAATAATGATGGAAAAGAGGGAAAAAATTGATTGTGTCAATTGAAGTTAAAAAATATATCTATCAAAGGTTATCAATGTTAGTCCAATGATGCTAAAAATTTGATCCAGTATTGGAGTTAAGTTGAATTGTTACAATTTAAGCCTAATCAATGATAATCGTCATTCAGCTGCAGCACTTGATCCAATTGATTTTTTGTATAAACTTGTATCAGCAAATTTCCTTCCAGTAAAACTGTAGGTTAATCCGTTTGTTGATTTATCATCAGTCACCATGCATTTTCGTAGAACCCTGCAAATCCTGAATCGAGCCACAAATTCAGCCTTAAATCGTTCCTTTAAAATCAAAAGCAAAATCCAAATTAGTGTGCATATTAAAATGATATTAAACTAATACTTGAAGCTTTTGTTCAATTTCAATCCTTTTACTTTCGCTTTTCACTGTTTCCTATCCTTATCCATTCACTGGTAACATTTTTCATTTTACATTAATATATTACAACATTTCAATTTAGGAGCCACTAATATCATTAATTCATGAGACTAAAATGAGTGGTTCATTTGAAATTTGAAATATTAAGCAAATACAAAGCGTTTCAACTGTTTACATTGAAATACAAAATGAAATAACAAGCCGAGCTTCAACTGTGTGTTAATTAATTAATATACTTACTCCGTAAATAGCATAAATGAATGGATTGTAACATGAATTGGACATTGAAAGCCAATGACATGAAAACCAGATCACATTAATATATTTATATCTGTAAACATGATAAATAAAGTACAATAATTTGAGTAATCCATTCATATTTAATGTACACAATGTTGGCAGTTTTTTGTTGCTTTCTTGGTCAATTTATGCACAATTTCAATTGATTGAATGCTTTACTCCGATTGTCATCTCATTTTTCAATATTATTAACACTATTATCATTGTATTACCATCAAATTGGACCAACCAACTATCATTGTTTTGCCTTTTCCGTCATCTCATTACATATTAACACATAATCATTATGAAAAGTTCATTTTCATTGCCATTTATTTACTCATTGTGACTTGAAAGAAGACAAAAAAAATGCAAATAAATGTGAAAAATAGACTTTCCTTTTTCACCCTTTATTACAACAATTTTGACAATTTTAATGCGATTAAGTTAATCTGCCTTTTTTTCAACCAGAATCAAGCAACCAAATGATGAATGATGAAGATGAGAAACAAAAGGATTCACATTTTGAGGAGCTTTTTCTGGATAACCAACAACTTGAACATGGAGTAATTTCAAATGTAATTTACCAAATTTACTCAATACTAATCAATGCGATTACTTGGTAATACAGTTTGATTGGAGTTTGGGTTGATGGATGATTAACCAAAACAATACTTACTCATTGATGGATGGATAAATCTCTTGAAGTATATTGTACAGTTGAAAGGGTAACCAGCAAATGGCAAAAAGAGCGACAACAATGAACAGCATTTTGATAACCTGTGATAATGAAGAAAGTAAATTAGCTAATTGTCAATTAACCAGGGTTGATATGAATGATAACAATGAAATAAAGGAAGAGTGAACAAAATCAAATGGTAAAAACAAAGTCAGTCTTGGTTATGAATGTGTGAACAATTTAGACCTTTTTTTCATCTCTTTCGCCTAGTAACAGCAGTTGACAAAAAACAATTATGACAAAGTAATTAATTGGTTAAAGATGATGACTATTAAGCTAATTAGAAAGCTTAATAGTCATTGAATAAAGGAAAAAGTGAAATTTAGAAGAAAAAAGTTCATCATTAACGCTTTTTTTAAAGCTAAGTTGAACCTTTGCTTCCTAAATGAAAATTATGTTTAGATGAATGTTCAACAGTGAAGATGGCCATGGTTGTAATCAATCAAGAGTATAAATTAATAGAATGAAAAATACAATCAATTTTCGTTGATTGATATTAGGCGACAGTTTTAAATGCAATTTGTATTATTGATTGGATTGTATTTAGTAAATTGTGCGTGAACAAAAATGGTGTAAAAATTGTGATCAACAAATTTGATTCATTTGACAATCGGTTTTGTTTTTAGGAGTAAAGAGGAAGAAACATTAATGATAAATTGATGTCGACAATAAAAAAATATGGAAAATAAAGAAATGGATTTCAATGGAATCATTAAGAATGCCATCAATAAATTCAATGGATATGGAATCGAAATGAAGACGATGAAGAGGACAATGAATATTGTAAAACAGTGACAAGCATATAAACAAGAATCATTCTCAGAATAACTTGAAAATTCAGTGATCCACAAAATCATTTTTTGGTGCAACTTTACCTTAACCATTAATGAAACAACATCTATTATTGTTCCAGTTAAACACAACAATCAAACATACAAATGACGATCATCTCATTGTTATTAATAACCTGAATGTTTGCGATAAGATTGCTGTCAGTTTATTCATGGTAATCAAATGGTAAAAGCTTGAAATGAACAATTTTCTTGGTAAACAGACAACAGATTGGTTTCATGTTTAGCTATTGGATACACCAGTCACTCCTGTGCGCCCACTTGTTCACCAATCTTCTTAAATTGTTACAGTAATTAATGGTTAATTACCATTCTGTCAGGTTGACATTAGTAATTACCGTTGATTAGTGTGTGTACATCAAATAACCAGAAAAAAAACGTAAAGGTATAAACAAGTTCCAAGAGAAATAAGTCAAAATTGGAAGACAGAATTATTAGGAAATAATAAGAGATTCAATGGGAAAATAGCAACAGTTTTGGGTTTCATTGTCAGACAATTTTCTCATGTTAATAGATGAAAATGTTGAAAATCAAATAATACCAACATTGTAAAAAAGCTCACACTAATTGAATCCAAAGTCTGGTTGTCAATTGATAACAAGAGACAGATTTGAATCCTCTTTTTGTCACCCAATAATACTGGAAATGTTGAGCGAAATAAATTTATTCAGAAACAATTTTTAGGTGCAAGTTGAGTTAAAATGAGAGATCATTTCGAGTCTCATTTTACCCTTTCAATTTAACCCAAAATTTTATCAGATTTACTTTTTTTCTTTATTCATTTTCAACTTTCTATCCTCCTTTTTTGCACTCTTTTGCCTCTTGAGGCTTTCAACTTTTATATCATTTGCTTTTGTTTGGAGAAGGCAAAAATATATAAAATTATTATCAATATCATTACAACTTCTGTTGTGCAAGTATAAAACTGTATTTGTGCATGAATTTCAGGTGTTGGAAATGAAAATTGTTTTCCTTTGAAAAAAGGTAAAATAAACAAAATGAAAATAAACGCAACTATAAATCCTAAATCAAACTGTATTCAATATTGTTTACCAAAATTTCAGCCTGAGAAATGGGAATATTTTTCATTCCTCAATCGAAATGTTGATGTAAATCTTTCTTTATCACCACCATTTTCACCCTTTTCAATAATCAACTCATCAATATTTGATAGACTTTATGTTTCACTATCAACTTGATTTACTTTCATCTAACTCAATGTTATTTATAGTCCGATGAGTTAAACACCGATTATAAACATGATCACAATATAAATCTTGCTATTTTAGTCTTGTAACAGTAGCTATTTTCAAACATCAGTTACACCGTTTTACCTTATCATTTCATATAATCATAGAGTTCAATCTTTTGGATGAACCTTGAATAGCAAATGATTATACAGACTCTAATATTAAAGCATAACACAGCATATGTAACAAGCAATTTGATATTGATTCTTGTAGTTTGACTTCTAACATTTACAGTTGATTGGTATTCAGTTGAAATGCCTGGAATCCTTGTTAACATTGATAAGATGGTGAACCAAGAATGGGTTTATAATTAATCTTCGTTAACCAGTCAATAAAGTTGATTCATAATTTCATTTCCAATCCAATTAATCCATTATTTGAAAATCTTTCTAAGGGTAAAAATTATAAAATAAAAATAAAGCAATCAATAAAATGAAATATCAAGCAATCCAGTCGCAACAGTTAATTGTTGAAGTACAATTGTTACATTTTAGCTTATTCATTTGTCTCGTTAAGATTTGAAATTTGAAATTGGGTTTTCTGGTTCAATCCATGTAAAAATATTTCAAAATGTAAACGTCTTCAAAATTTTGAAATCAATTTGTTTGCCATTTTTTACTGCTTTTTCTTGCTTCCTTCAATTGCATATATTTTTCGTGTAATCAATTGTCCATTTCTCAGGTAAACAAACTTTTCTCAAACCATTTAGAGACATTTTAAATGCCTCTTGAGAGGTAAAAAAACATGCAGCAAACAACTTTTACCCAACAGCTATATTTTTGTTTGATATATAATATTATATGTTTGAGTAAAGCAAGAATCAAACAAGATTTAGAGAAATGGCAAAACAATTTGTCAAAAAATAACGAGAAAATAAACGAGAAGAGAAAAAGAAAAGGAATTTGAAACATTATTGAGAAACAGCAATTGCTGAGTTTCAGTTCATGTTTACCATTAAATAATAGTTGCAACCCTTTTCTGGTTCTCTTGCATTAGCTAAATAAATATCATAAATGCATATCAATACTGTATTAGTTATGGGAAGGTAAAGGAAGAAAAAAAAGGAATTGAGAAAAAAAATCCTTTGAAACTCATTTGAATTGAAGATGTATCAAGTAAAAGTGTTTCATGTTGACACCCTGTCGACTTTCCCTTAGATTTATTAAATATGTGAAATTAAGGCTCATCTGAATGTTGCTCAGAGAGAAATTATTTGAATCCATTTTTCTCATCCAAGAGAAAAGTTTCTTCTTCTTCTGGTTTCCCAACAGCTAATAGTATTGATCAGTATTGAAATTTACATGTTGGAGGTAATATTTCTTCTGAAAAGTTTTGTTACCTTGAATGAAAAAAAAACCTTTTCCACTTTCATCTTTATAATGATGTTTGATGCTCTCTTTATACTTTTCATCATCATCATTTGAAACAGTTATATCAGATGCATTTACGTCCTCATCATGAAAATCAGTTTCGTCTATTTATTCTGATATTTATTCTGCTACTTTTCCTTATCATCTTTTTACTGCTTTCTATCTGCTTTTTCCTTCATATTCTTCTTGCTCCAAGATATTGATGGGTTGAGTCTTGAACTTTTTTCGCCTTGTACTCCTCCAGTTGATATAAACATTCATGAATAGACCAAAGTGTATAGATAAATACATATTATCTAGATAGATCCATCCTTGAGCAATATTATCTTTAGTCTGTCTTATCCTTTTCCTATTCTCCTTCGGGGTAATTTTGTATTCTAACGAGAGTCAGCAATGAAATCTTTAGTTTTTGATGAATATTCGCATGGATTCCCATAAAATCTCATGAATAATCGACAAACCGAAGGAAAAATTTTTCTTATTCTGCTCTCCATTAAAAGTGAAAAAGCAAAGGGCGAAAATCTGAGTAAAAATGAATGAACAAGAAAATTATGATGTTTGAAATTAATCCATTAAAAGAATTAGTCGAATTGGATGAAATGATATCAATAAATATTAGATTGAACATTACCTTTCATCTATCCATAAGACGTATGGATAATGTTAAAATGATAGATTGGCTTTTTCCCCAGTGAAAATAGATAGATGAGCAAAATTTTGAAGTGAAAAACAAGTGAATATTATCCCCAGATAACCAACGGTTCATTAACAGTTTAATTAAAACATTGAAACTCTATCAAAATCAATTTCAACCATTAACCTTCACTAAGCCTGAAACACTTAATGAATAAAGATGAAAAAGAAAGCATGACAAAAATGATAAATTCAAAGGTTGAAAAGAGAAAAAAAATGTAGAAATAGATTGATGAGTCAACACTAAATGATTTACAAAACCGATTAAACAGAATGTCATGAAGAATCAGGTGGAAAATGTTCAGCTTAATTGAGTCCATTGAGTGGCACAATTTAAATTAATAAAGCCACTGAAATGATGTGTGTTGAAGTCAGAATAAAGAGTGTAATCCGCTGAGGAATCAGAAAAGGTGGCAACAGGCATGTTTCTTCACAATCAACAGCTTGTCAATAACAGATAGTAATACACAAATTTCCATAAAATTAAATGACAAAATTGAAAATTAATTAGTAAATCACAAAAATAATCAAACGTTTTAAGGAGTTTACATAACAGTTATCTAACCCAAATAGGCTTCTTTACTCTTTACCCAAATCTTGGCGGTTAAGACAACCAGAGATTAAAGGGGTCATTACCTAATTACACCCTTTACCTAGCAAATGACAAAATTAATAAATAATATAAAGTAAATATAAAATTCCCGATTTTCCAGCCAATTCACCTATGAATCAAATATGAATTAAATTGCGAAATTGATAATAAAAATGATATTAATTTTTAAAAATGAAAATCCATCAGCGAATTAATGTAACCAGAAATGATTTACGAGCAAAAAGCAAACAAACAGCTATGATCAACTACGAATGTTGATACAAAAATCTCAACTCTCTTCAATCAGATTGATGTAGCATTAAAAATTTACAAAATACAGCATTTTGTGAAACAATCTACTGATGTTGAAAAATTAATTTGCCAAAATTTTACAGACTTCATTAATATATTGATAGTTACATGAGAGTATTGAGAAAGTTGAATGAATAAAAAAGGTTAAAGACAAAAAGCATAAACACTAAAGGTTAAACCCAAAGCTTTATACCGATCAAACCCTTTCAAGATTTAAGATTGAACCATTAATTTATCAAGTGAAACGAGCAAACTGTTGATTAATGAACAATTAATGCAGATAAATTGATTGTTTACTCCAACACTTTAATAAATAAAAGATTGATATTGAAAGACAAATATGAAAAATGAATAAAAAATGAGAATCAAAAATTAAATTTCTTTGTTGATCCTCATCTTTTGAACCCTTTTTTCATCCAAGCCTTATTAATATGGCAAATGATCATTATTTAGCTAAATTTACCTAAACCTGTTTGATAAACGATGAAAAAATTGTCAACATTGAACAATCAGGAAAAGCTAGACAATTAAAGAAGTGATCTTCAGAAAATGATCAAGACTTGATTAGGACTTGACACAATTAGAGATGAGAAAATGTCTATTAACATCAATTTTCCTCTCCTTAAATTGCCAAAATTAGCTGTAAAGTAATCGGAATGTTTAATGTTAATTGCAAGGTTAAAATTGATTAAACAATTTCACCAAATTGCACCGTTAAATGTTCCCAATCGACTGATCAAACGAGAGTTTAAAGTAATGTTTAAAATGGCCAAAGGTTTGAAAGATTGTTTTCATTGTTATCAAAATAGTAAACATAAATAAGCTGAAAAGACCTAAATATTAACTGAACAATGATCATTATCATTATTAAATTACGCCAAGTCTTTGATCAGTTTCTTTGATCTAACATCTTAACCATTTTTTATCATTTCTTGCCATTGATATTGAACCAAAGACTCGATGATCACGTCCATTCAAGTGGTAACCCAATAACCAAATAACTTGATCCTCAAAAGGCTCATCATTACCAACAACAATATCCAAGATAATCATAATATAATAATGATGATAATGTAGAGTCTACATTGACTTTTGAAATTGCTTTACACTTTTTTCAACCCTTGAACAACAACACAAAAAAAACACCAAAAAACCCAGCTAATATCATACATATTATCTGTATCATCAAAATATTTTTTCACTTTCAAGATCCAAAGTAAACCGATTTTCATCCTTTTCTCATCCAAGTCTAGCTCTTGAAATATACACTCGATTATCACCAGTATATTGGTTTTAATAAAGAATCGAGTATATAAAGCAAAGGGTAAAATGGTTTATTGGAAGCAAACAGAATAAAATGGAGAACTTTTAAACTGTTTCTTTTGTCAAAATGACAAATAAATGTCTCTCAATGCCTTTCGCACCTAAACTTGTCCAATTTTTCCCTGTCATCCAAAAGAAAATTTCACAATGAATTTCCTAGATTTTCTCATTTTTACCTCGATCTCTATTTAAACCAGTTTATCACCTACTTTTCAATCTCATTTACCCTCCAGGTTTAGACAATTTAAACATTTTACGACCGACCACTGACCCAACCAACTTTAATATCATCTTGATCATAGCAACTTTAGCTCATCTTGTTTGGTCAACTATTCAACTCCCACCTTAACTTGGAGGTAAACCTATTGCTAGAAGTAATAAATTTTGATTCTCGACTTTTCTTCTTCCTTCCAAAATCGATATCAGTGTCTGAATTAAAAGCCGATTCTCACAAATTTCATCATATTTATGCAAAGTGATTCTGAATCAAAGATGTTAGCTAAATGCAAATGAAGTTTGTAAAACAAATTGAACCTTTAAAATAAATTGAACAAAAATTTTATTCAAAATGAAAATGTTGTAATAAAAGAGATTCATTCATCAAAGAAAGATTGGTAAATCAAGCTTTGAATTAATTGCTCCTGAATGAATTTAATCAATTAAAAGGGATTTCATAGAAAAATAAATTTCCCTTCAAAAGTTGTCTTTTAATAACCAACACTCCAAGTAAACTCCCAACAAAACTCCCAGCAAACTTGCTAAGAAAACTCTCAACACTGGAATAACACTGAGAAAACTGGGAATCAAGTCGAAACTCTCTTCATGAGCTTTCTAATAAAGTTCAACAATTAACTCTTGATATTAGAAGCCACTTATTTCTTATTAACCCAATATCATCATCTATCATTCGTTTAGCAAATGCTTTCTTCTCATTCATACTCAAAATGCATAGCAATTACTGTTTTGTTTGGATAAAAATATGAAAATAATATTATTAGTTGAACTAAAAGCCTCAGGGAATCATGAAAATTGATAAATTTTCATTAAAATAGTGAAAAAACATTGAAGTAAAAGTTTAATGTAAATATTAATTATATCAACAGATTTTCATCATCTTTTCATCCATCAATATCATTAAACAATAGACTAAACAACAATGAAATTTTGTCTTATTTATCAATAATTGATGAATTTCTTGTAAACCATTTCATTGAAATGATTAATATTCAAGTTAATGATTGAGTTAATAAAGCGTTTTGTAAAAATATTAAAAGATTTCAAACTTGTTTTGTTTCAGGTAAATCTGGTTAAATCTTGGAGTCAATAGTTATAAAGATTGTAACAGTTAATTAATTTCGATTGAAATTAATCATTTGATCAAGCAATTATTTACACTATTTGGTAATTAGCAAAACCTTGTTCAAACATTTAATCATTGGTAAAATATTAAGCATTGAGTAGACTTATCTTGAGGTGACCTTTTCTGGTTAAAGCTGAAAGGCTTTCGCTGAACCCAAAAATAGGAGTTTGTGTAGGAACAGAATTAACTTCAACCTTTCGATGTGTTGCAATGACCAAAAAATGAATTTCCAATCTGAAAATGTTCACAGGGTTCGAAACTCAATGAGAACCAGAATTATTTTTGTAACAATCTATTGATAACTCTCCATTGAACACACATTGTTAGGTGTGTAAAATAGCTGAAAATGTTTCAATTCAAGTGCAGATTTTACCAAATTAATTAAACATCGAAATAGCAATTTAGCAATAAAAAGCAAACAGGAAAATCAAAATTTTTCAAATTCTCGAAATGGTTGAAGGAAATTAAATGAAAAATTTAATAATAATGAAACTGATTATTGTAATAGGAAGACAAAGAAACAGAAAATTTGATTAGCCTTAAGTCATTGACTAAATTAGCAACAAGTGAATAACAATTACCCTGACGACTAAGAATTTAATTATTTACAATTTACTATTGGAAAGGTTAAAAGAGTAAAAGAAGATTCTTTTGATTCCAGATTCTTTCCTTAAACACTGTTGCCTGTGAATAATTTAAATTCACAATTTAATATCTAAAATGGTTAATGATTGAAAAACAACTGATTTTCAGGGGAAACTCGGGAAAAAAGAAAAGATTTATTCTTCAAGAAATTGCTTCAATATTGAATCAGATTTTATTTGCTTCTTAGTCTGAATTTACTTTAATATAAAACTCAGTGACGTCTAGAAAAAGGTAAATATTTATACTTTCATGATATTACTAATGAGTTGATTAACGTTCATTCAGATTCACAAATGTAATAATTGATGATAATAATAATTTAAGAAGTGCAAGAAAAATGAATGTTCAAATGAAGGGAAACATTTATGATTATCTTGCTTTTTCATGGCTTTCAGATGAATGGATATTTTGCTATTTGTATGAGACAAATGGTTTACCCTGAAATGAGATGCTGATTAAACTAGACAATTGTGAAAGTTAAAGTGATATAAATAGATGGTGAAGCGATCAACTGGCTAGAAGCGAGAAAATGTTGAATATTTCATTTTTCACTGCATTTCCAGTTTGATTCATTGTAACATTTCATGGTGAAAAATGGTTGAATTACAAAGGAATAACAATTTTCAATTATTCTCTTAATAACTCTCTATGAATATCAACATTGTAACAAGCTTTTTTCAATCTTTTGTCTGGCCATCGTAAACTGACAAGTTTAAGGTTAAATGTAAATGTTATTGAAAGTACCATCTGTCAGAAGATATATCAAGCTGAAGATCAGTTTATTGTTTCAATTTAACACATGATGAATGGGCTTGTCAAAGGTTGACCATTGAGATTACATTTTCAGTCAACGCAACTTGAACATTGAATAACGCATTGGTTAGCATTTACAAAGAGTTGAGTCTCGATTTCAATTGTATATCTTTCAATATGGATACTTGAGGCTTTGGATTAAGAGATTTATTAGGAATGTTTCTCGTAATGATCTTTCAGAAACTCATGGTTGCAAGAAATTCTGGTTTCGTGATTACATTTTTGGATGTTTCAATGTGTGATTGAGTTTGGGTTGAAGGATATCAATAGATTGATGATTGCATGATTTACTGGAATTATTTTTCAATGAGATCTTTATTACTTGAGATTTACTGATTCACTGTTTCAGATTAAATGCTTGATTACGGGTTCATCTTCTTAATTGGATTTGTAAAAACGAGACTGAATAATTAATCTTTGATTAGTAGTAATTACATTTCGAATCTGGTTGCAGAATAAATTTTTGTTATTTTGTCTATTTAGACGATCTATTTATAAGATTTCAACATTTACCAGAGTTTCAACAATGTCAACAAGGTTTGCAAATTAGATCTGACAATTAAGTGATCAAATGTAAGATTAAATGTAATTCAAAATGAAGTTTCAC